CCACCTCACAGTAGCTATGTTGGACCTGTTATTGGCACAGTGCTGTAAAATACGTGAGGGGTTCACTAAGTCAGCTTTGTGGAAGGAAACATGGACTGGGAGAATAGGGTTTAGTAATGCAGCAGGCTAACATAATGCATGTGCAATTTCACCTACTGTATGTAATTTGTTGTACGAGGGGTACAGTAGATTTCCTAGCCTCTGTGGGTGGATAGTGTGATCTGTTCAATATATTTGCTTTTGTACCTGTCTTATTCTGAAGAAATTCTTACACTAAGAAAAGTACAGCCTCCATAGTCAGCAGCAAATTCATGATCACACAATTTCATCTTTTAGCAGCTCTGTGTATGCACTGTAATACTGTCAGTGATCCATCATGCACATAGCCAACATGTTTGATGTGGAGGGGGAAGTGTGTGAGATGATTAATCCCAAGGCCCCTGAGTTGAGCTGCATTTGAACTGGTACCTGCTAGCCAAATATTTACTCCACTGAGCTAACCAGATTCCACTTTACCTAAGTCGAGTGGCAGCTACCGATCTCTAGCTATGCTGCCCTTATCAAAGGAGAGCCTGGGTTAAGGTCTGCTACCTGTTACCAAGCACTTAGGCACAAAACCAAGCAGCTACGCTGACAGCATGCAAGTGAAAGGCAGCCTCTAGCCAAAAAGGGAATGTTGGACATGCCTTTCATTGAGACATTGGTATGAAATGCCCATTTCTTTGGGCTTGCTTTTTGGTTGGAAGGAGGCATTTCTCTTTTACTGGAAAGTCAGCTCTCTTCACCATGCTCAGAGCCAGAAAACCCTTTGGGCTAACTCCATAATCTTAAAAGCATGTTTATTTTTATTAGCTTGTCTTAATGGAGTTTGTACAGTCTTCCTGCATCATCAGGGTTGGGGGAGTTGTCATTCCCAGAAAGGGAGTCTAGGTTAAGAAATGATGTATCGTATGAAAGCTCAAGTGCTATGCAGGTGGGGAAAAAAGCTCCCCTCTTGAAATGTCTGCTTATTGGTTTATCAGCACAAGAACTGCCTACTATACTAACAGGTATAGACTTGTAAGTGGCCTGAATTTTGCATTACATGCAGCATTTTGAATCATGTTCCTCTTTTTGAACTTTGAATCCTGACACTCATCACTCCTCTTCCAGATGTAGGCAGAGAACCCCAAAAATCTTAATCAGTTGAACATGCAGAATTCAACAGCTGTGCAACCCCCAGCCATGGGTTCAATCCCTCAGTAGTGACTGGTCCAGGGGGAGGGTACTTACTCTAACTCTAGTAGGGGTATGTGTTTGGGATCTGAGGGTATTGAGTTCAAATGCTACTGATGACCTAATAACTATTTAGGGTTATACATTAAAACTTATTTGAGTTTTCTTTTTAAACTGGCTTTAATTCATACAATGATAAAAACATCCCTAAAAACAACTTTCATAGCTTATTATACACTGTCCATTGAACTATAATTGACAACACAATACAGATGTTCCCTATTTTTGTAATTTGTCACAGCAGCAAGTTTAAGTATTGCATTCCGGTGTTCTTTCATAGGCAGCTACAGAGAAGACACTTTTATATTTGTTTTCCATTCCGTTTGAAATAACCCTTGACTCTGTGCTGCATAGCATTGGATTACATCACTGAACAATGGCTCTGGGAAGTTCATGTTTCTACACTGGCAATGCTGAAAACTTATAAGGAGCGCACAAGAGACAAAGGATAAAGGAGGCAGAGGACTGGGGAGACATAAGTTGTTATATTAATTGGGCCACTAATCTGACAGATGGCTTCAGCTTTATCTTTCTGCCTCCTACAGTCTGTTTAAATTGAAAAGCTCTTCAGGGAGAGACTCTTTCCCTGTACCATCTTCATCCCCCCACCCCTCCCCAAATCTTGGTCTGGGCAAATCTAATGGCTGAAGGTATTTATGAGAGTGGCAGGTCTCTTACAATAGTTGTCAACACAGAGATGATGCAAATGGCACTTCACGCTGTGGGTGATGAGCTCAGGCTCGCTCTTCATGTCTGATCCAGTACTGAGCTTCCCTCATGACCATGTAAACTGCTGTTATAAGATCAGGCAGGTTCAACATTTTGAATACTGATGTTTTCATACTTCACATTCTAAAAACAAATGCCTGATTTCTTGCATAAGCCAAATGAGTTTAATTTTTTTCCAGCAGCAAGTTAACATGATACAAAAATACATAATACTGTTTACACAATACAAACAAGCAACAAGCTCCTCCAGGGTGTGTGTAACATCACTAGTTATATACACTTCTCAGCAATGCATACTCAGTGACCATTGTTCCAGAACAACTAAGACAGAATATCCAAATTGGTTTGAAATAGAGCTCTTGGAAGCTGATTTTTCTGACAGCTCAGCTTGTAAGTTGTTTTGCTACCAGCGGTAAAGGGGGAGAAATGCCATAATAGGGAGTTAAAGGCATACCTAATGTGCACCTTGGTGTTCTCCAACTTGCTTCTTGCTCTTAATGCAGTCTTGAAGGAAGGGGAGAGCATCAGTCTGTAAAGTGAGAATTTCCTCCCCCACCTGTGAAATTGTTCTGTATATTATAAATGCTTCCTAGAGATGATAATCTAAAGCAGCAATCCATTTGGTACCTAGTTAGGTGTGTTGCATGCAAAACACCACATTGGGCTCATAGCTGAAGCAGTGAGATAGTGGGCCAAAGTCTGATCTCAGTTACAGCTGTAGACTAGCTCTATAAAATCAATGGCAACGTTCTTATGTAACAGAGCAGAGTTGGGTCCATTGTTTCTTCCTCTCTGCATAACAGAAGGGGAGAATGAATTGCTGTTTATCATTTTTCATACACAGTATTACTGTAACCTGGAGCCTCAGCTACTACTTTTCAAATGGGAGCTGCAATCACTCACTCCTCCTATCTGCCAAAATTCTATATTTTGCTGCCTAACACCATTTACAGTTTATGCAATGGGATGGCTTGCACTCAAGTGGTTAGTTGTCCTACAGAAGCTTCATCCTAAACTAGTGGGACTGGTTTAATACCTTAACTGTGGGCTGAGATGGATAAAATAAAAAAAGCTACAAAAAGATTTTTAACCCACACAGATATTAAATTGACCCTTAGGAAGGGAGAGCATGATATTGCTGTCTTGAACACATTATGGAGTAAAAGACAACAGTCATTCAAAATATTGTGCAGCATTAAATAGGGCCATGCGCTGAAACAGGCCCTGATAGAAATATATCATGTTCTTCATTCACCCTAGCTGTCAGCATTTGATTTTTGTCTGGACAAATTTAAAAAAAGACTTGAAATATCTACTGCTATATTTATAGTAGAGACATGACTAGTTTTCATTGTTTAACACCTAATACTCAAGTGATGCACTAACATTGGTATTGACAGTATCGGACCACTTTAATTGTAGCTCATGATCTCCATAAAGACATGTCTGAATAAAAATTCTAAATGGGTGTTCACCACCACTTAGCTGCACCTGGTCTATAATTACAAAATGAGTAAATGGATGGAACTCAACGTTTAAGTTTTCAATTTTCTTTATAAAAATGCAAATTCCATCTCTCTCTGGAGGAAGAGATTTCTAAATTACATCAAAATATTTCAGTTACACAATTTGGGTTCAGAATCTGTGGACTTAGGCTATCTTAACTAATAACTAGACATCTGCTGGTGCATATCTCCTAGAACTGGAAGGGACCTTGAAAGGTCATCGAGTCCAGCCCCCTGCCTTCACTAGCAGGACCAAGTACTGATTTTGCCCCAGATCCTTAAGTGGCCCCCTCAAGGATTGAACTCACAACCCTGGGTTTAGCAGGCCAATGCTCAAACCACTGAGCTATCCCTCCCCGCAAGTTATAGTTATTTTAGTCTAATTTTTAATGAATATATTTTGTTAAATAGACTTGAGTGTCCAGTAATTTTAATTCATACAAATTATCTACACACCTGTGGGGGAATTCATTCTGACTTAATTATAGATCCTGGACCAAATGTGGGGACACTCAGGCCTACCCAGAATCCCACTGAAGTTGGTGTCCCTCTATGTGCAGGGGTATGTCTGTGGATCCCAAGATAGGGCCATAATTAACAGGAAGTAGGCAACAACAAGCAGTTGCTGGTACAATAAATATAAAGCATTGTGTTCTTACATTAAAAAAAAATACAAGTCTTACACGTTAGAGTGCAGTCAAATGGCCAGCAAGTTTACATTGATTCTTTTGATCAGCATAATCTGACAATTCCCAGTGTTAGTCTTGCTCTTGAGTTGTTGTTTCCCCCCCCCAAAAAGAATCTCACATTTGCATTGTAACATCACAACAGCTGAACCACAGGGCTTTGAAAAGAAGCTATTTTCCCTCATGTATAAAGCTTTCAGAGTGCTCATCAAACACAAGTAAGGAATAATAATTTAACGAGGGCCCAGACAGCCTTGTCCTACCACATAATCTGCAGTAGGGGGTGGTGGTGGGAACTCCATAATGATCCCCTCTCAAATTGTTCTGGCAGGCATGTGGAGATTTGCCTCTGCACACAAAACAGGCCTTAGTGATCACACACACAACGCCCATGTGTGCACATGGAGGCCTTCCATCTCTACCCCTTCCTCCCTGGAATGAGAGAGCTGCTCCAGGAACCCCTCTGAGGCTGTATTATTTTTTAACCCTTATTTCTGCAAGGCTGTAGAAGGGCTGAAGTGCATTCTCCCAACCCACCCAAGAGAGCTGTCCACGTTCTACTTCCTTCCCCTGCACAGATCCAGGGCCGGCTCCAGGCACCAGCTCAGCAAGCAGGTGCTTGGGGCGGCCAACGGAGGGGCGGCACGTCCGGCTCTTCGGTGGCGGGTCCCTCACTCCCTCTTGGAGCGAAGGACCTGCTGCCGAACTGCCACCGAAGAATGAAGAGCTGCCGCGGAAGTGCCGCAGATCGAAATCGTGGTGTTTTTTTTTTTTTTTTTTTTTTTTAATTTTTGCTGCTTGGGGCAGCAAAAACCCTGGAGCCGGCTCTGCACAGATCCCAACCCTACTGAGAGTTCTTCTTATAGGTCAGAGGAGGAAGGAGATCCAGATTTAGAGGGAGCCCCTTCTGGTATGAATTTTATTGCAAAGACACTGTATATTAAATCATATTTACTGTTATATAGATAGAATATTACATTAAACTTACATTAAAGCTAATTTTTAAGAAGTTGGACATGTCACTTCATATGTATATATTTTTAATGCACACTCGTGATTTTGACAGACAACGCTGCAGCTGAATAATTACTTACAAACAAATATACAGATTATGAAAGCATGAAAAATTAAAGTATTTAGTCCTTTCTCCACCCCATCTCTCTGATCATGTTGACAGTTACCAACTTTTAAATAAACACTGATACAAAGTAAACTCCTGACAGAGTAACACTGAGGAAACAAGTAGTGTGCTACGGAAATCCTGGCTGCAAAATGTTTACATGGATCATGTAAACAGTGTTACCCTCAAAGGCTAGTTTAAAAATGTTCCACATCTATAGATCATATGCTGGCACTTCCGGTAATGGAATCTATAAGAGATGTCTTCAGATGAGTAAAATTTAAGGAAAAAACTCATTCATAATAATAAAAAAACATTAAAACCATACCTGCTGAACACTTTTCCACAGAGACATTGGTCCATGTCAGATCAAAATTCTCATCTAAAAGTGATAATGGTTAAAACCATCCCAGGAGAACAATTTTGAACCAATGATCTAGAATTATTTGGTTGTAAAAGAGGTAATAATAATAATGTTTTACTAGAAACAAAAATTCTAACAACAGTAATTTACTCCAGTTCCCTGTGTTCTGAACATTTCTTGTTTCTTAAAGATTTACCTTCCTGCTATTACAAATACAGAAATAATAATGGAGATCAGTTCTATATCCTGTACTTTATCTTTCTGTTTTATATGATCCTGTGATCCAATCTGATCAACTGAGTTTTGAGAGCTGAATTCCTTATCTGCTTCTCAACTGTTCCCTGATCCCATAGTCTTACGTGCAATTTTAAAGATCCTATTTTAATTTTTCTAGCTAGCCCACTAGAAAGTTAATTATTTTTAAAATGGTTTTGCAATTAACATACTTTGCATTTTGTGTAAACATTTTGTAATACCGTAAGTGTAGTGCATATAAAGGCACAAGACAGAGTAAGATTTGTGTCGCTGAAACTTCCTTGGTTTCAGAAACTAGCAATACACTTTTTTCTTTTTAAATCTGGCTGGTAAACTTTGATCCTATGAAATCCAACATCTGATTGAATATGTACACATCTCCTTCCTACTTTCACTGTAAAAGGTTTTCTATGGGAAACAAGTTTGGGTTTTTGATGTGAGTGATCGGATGTCCAGTGTCCCTGTAATAGAGCAAATACTACATGTTGTTATGACAATGAAAGTCTCTTTGTATGTACATCAAGTTGCAACATTTTAAATACGACTGAGAAAGGAAAGAGCTTATGTTCAATAATTAGTCTGTAATGATTACCAAGCCATGAGAAGCATATTAATGTTCTTGGGCCATGTACTTCTCAAAGTCCACAATTTAGATTAAGCACTTTTGGTCCAAATGTTTCTAAGTAACATTAAGTCCACACATTTTATTTTTCTAAAGAGGTGCTGGCCCAAACTAAGAAGCTGTATCACAACAATCCCAATTTCACAGAAATCATCCTGTGCAGCTGTAACTGAAAGCCCTAACCTCCATTTACACACACAGTCCATCTCCAATATGGGCCTCTTCTTACTACTCTACTAAGAATGAAAATTAACCTGAACTGTAAGCGCACAATCCAGTTAAGTGAGAGGTTATTTCAGCAATTAAGTGTTTACAATCCAGCAGTCATATCTGTATAGGGGAAGGGGGGATACTATCTGCAATCAAGTCTACCAAAATAGTCTAAGATGATCCAACCTATTTCACTTAGGTTGATTTTAAATCATAAATTAGCTGACTCAGTCAGAATCTGAAATCAAAATATGGTACCCGACCAATCAGTAAGCTACTCAATTACCAAAAATCAATGCTGATAATGCTTTTCCATGGATAAAGCCAGCAGCACAAAATGTATAATTCTTTTTTTTTTAAATAACCTACTTACGGCCATTGAAATTCATAAATAATATCAAGATTCAAAACTGATGTAAAAGCATGGACGGGCTATATGTAAGGAGTTTACGTTTTCTTGTGCTATCAGAATACCAAAGTAAAAACTAGCCCTTGAATGTGCACAATAGTAAATTTTGTCCCGCTAATCCTAATGAAAGGATTCTCCCTTTCTCCTCATATAATACTCAGAAATGTCCTTTAGCATTTTACCAGTAATTTGTGTACGTTGAAACATTCTTAATACAGTCCAAAAATATCAGTATGTCTTATGTTTCAAGCAATGACATGGCAACAGCTAATCAGCTGTCAATTTCTTCTGAGCATATCCACACAGGAGCAGACAGGAACAGCTGGCTGATGGGGGCTGGTTTTTGGAAGAATGCATCTTCCTTTCATCAGCAGCTTTACCTTGAACTGGAACAGAAAGCATAAAACTCCAATAATATTTTAGAAACACAGGCACATTTAGCAATTTAATGACATTTCTTGCAATAACTTTTATAGGAAAAAAACAACATATAATGGAACATTTAAGCAGTGGATTGATCAGTGGATTGGCAATAGAGCTGCCTTCAAATCAATCCATCTTAGGCTGGTAGTGATCAAAAGTTGTGATCATCTTGTGGGTATTCTATTGCCAACTACTCTGTGAAATTAGTTGGTAATCTAAGTTCAGTTCCTACAGGTATGTGCCTCATAAGAACAACTGTTACAAGTGGTACTAAAATGAACCATTGTTGTCAGTCTCAGTACACACACCAGTCTGAACGCCTACCCCTAACAGTGGTGCAAACAAGCTTGTAGCACAGTGTCAGAAATGTGGCGTTGTGCTGCCACTATAATGGTGCTCTGGAGAGAGAAATTCTTTCTTCATTAATATCAATATAACTGAGTGAATGTAATTTTTCACTGTTTCTCTATGAACTTTCATAGGCACAATCCAACTCAGAAAAGTTTATATGACATACATGAAAGAACTTACATAACTGAATTTGAATTTACTAAGTAACAACAGAAATATTAGTCCTGGGAAAATACCTCCAAAAAGTTTTCAGAAAGAGTTGAATAAAATATTAAATTTATACCAGCTGTATTCAGATTCATTTGTGTTAGCGTTCCATGAATACTTGTATGAGTAACTTTACTTGTTAAAAACAAAACAAAACACCTCACAGGCATAGTGATTTTTAAGCAAATACTCACAAAAAGTAAGATATACAAGTATTCAGACCAGAAATCTGATTCCAAGTTATTCATCAAATCAGAGACAGAAACAATAGCATGCAGGCTGTGTGTCCAATCAAAACTAACAGTTCAAATTTTGAATACTTTCAGACTGCTTACAAACAATGTACAGTCTAATAATTAGTCATGGTAGATATTCATTGGAACAAGGCAAATAGATTTTTTTTTTGTTTATATATTATGTGCTACTCACAGATAATATGCAAATAGGAAAGAGGTTACGTTTTTCAAATTATTCATTATGCATTATTCACTCAATAAAAATATATTTCTTCTTCCTAATTTTAATTTTGTAATAGAAGCTTTGAAAGCTTAATATATGAGCATGCGTACTGATAATTGCCATGGCCATTGTTATACTCCATTTTTTGAGAGTGCAGCCATTAGAGCAATGGATTCCTTTATTTTAATGGAAAATATCCATGAATTTGGGGATTTTGCATTTGAGTGGATGGATGAGATAATAGTCAAACAATTTCAATGAGAACCTTGAGAGCTGCCAAGTTAAAAACTGCATTTCATAAGGTATTATAAAAATAACCAGGAACTCTGATTATGACTAGTGATTTGTCATATTAGTGGTTATTCTACAGGTGATTTGAAAAGTCATTTTATGGAGTTCCATAATATGACCCCAAACTTACTTTAAAAAAAAAAAAAAAGTGTCTCTAGTGTTTCCTAGGCTGCCTTGCTAAAAAATCTCAGCATGTAAATGGTCCCAGGCAGACAATGACATGTATAATTAACTGAGGTGAGTGAGGCAGCTATTTTTCCGTGGTGGCTATTGTTTTGTTAAGATAAGACTGGGTTCAACAGGGCGCTTGCATGTCATTTGAAGACTATCCGTCAACAACTTTTTGAGAGGGTTTTGGAGCGGGCTGACGGTATGCTTCCTATAATGACAAGTGGTGGAAATGAATTTCTGTAGGTGTCCGAGATTCTCTTGGAATGATTATTTCAATGCTGCAGTGATTTCATCATGTTGTATAGTTAGTGAAAGTGTTTTAGTGCCCAGAGCCTTGGGTAGGCACTGTGACGTTGCACTCCATGTTTTATGGAAATATGTTTATAAGTGTGAATATGATGTAACTGGAATATGCTTCATGCAAAAGATATCATTACAAAGCTTATGATCTGCTGAGTGTGTTCATCCTATTTGTTTGCATGTATTTGACAGCATGTGACCTCCAGAAGAAGAAAGAGGAGCATGCATGTACCAGCAATGCAGATACAGGTGAGCAACCGTTTTCATGTTTTCTCCACAGGTACTAATGCAGACAGTGGACTAGATGATACATCTGAGGGAAGGGAGCAGAAGGAGACTCCACCGATTGGAAGGCATGAGATGCACTGTCTTAGGGATGGGGGTTCCACAACCACCGCTCCCAAGAGAAGGAGGCGGGTGGTGGTGGTCGGGGACTCCCTCCTCATCGGGACTGAGTCATCTATCTGCCGCCCTGACCGGGAAAACTGAGAGGTCTGCTGCTTGCCAGGAGCTAGGATTCACGATGTGACGGAGAGACTACCGAGACTCATCAAGCCCTCGGATTGCTACCCCTTCCTGCTTCTCCACGTGGGCACCAAAGATACTGCCAAGAATGACCTTGAGCAGATCACTGCAGACTACGTGGCTCTGGGAAGAAGGATAAAGGAGTTTGAGGCACAACTGGTGTTCTCATCCATCCTCCCTGTGGAAGGAAAAGGCCAGGGTAGAGACCGTCGAAGTCAACGAATGGCTATGCAGATGGTGCCAGAGAGGCGGCTTTGGATTCCTTGACCATGGGATGGTGTTCCAAGAAGGAGGAGTGCTAGGGAGAGACGGGCTCCACCTAACGAAGAGAGGGAAGAGCATCTTCGCAAGCAGGCTGGCTAACCTAGTGAGGAGGGCTTTAAACTAGGTTCACCAGGGGAAGGAGACCAAAGCCCTGAGGTAAGTGGGGAAATCGGATACCAGGAGGAAACACGAACAGGAGAGCGCAAGAGGGGAGGACTCCTGTCTCATACTGAGAAAGCAGGACGATCAGCGAGTTATCCTAAGTGCCTATACAGAAATGCAAGAAGCCTGGGAAACAAGCAGGGAGAACTGGAAGTCCTGGCACAGTCAAGGAACTATGATGTGATTGGAATAACAGAGACTTGGTGGGATAACTCACATGACTGGAGTACTGTAATGGATGGATATAAACTGTTCAGGAAGGACAGGCAGGGCAGAAAAGGTGGGGGAGTTGCATTGTATGTAAGAGAGCAGTATGACAGCTCAGAGCTCCGGTATGAAACTGCAGAAAAACCTGAGAGTCTCTGGATTAAGTTTAGAAGTGTGAGCGACAAGGATGATGTCATGGTGGGAGTCTGCTATAAACCACCAGACCAGGGGGATGAGATGGACGAGGCTTTCTTCCGGCAATTAATAGAAGTTACTAGATCACAGGCCCTGGTTCTCATGGGAGACTTCAATCATCCGGATATCTGCTGGGAGAGCAATACAGCGGTACACAGACAATTCAGGAAATATTTTGGAAAGTGTAGGGGACAATGTCCTGGTGCAAGTGCTGGAGGAACCAACTAGGGGCAGAGCTCTTCTCGACCTGCTGCTTACAAACCAGGAAGAATTAGTAGGGGAAGCAAAAGTGGATGGGAACCTGGAAGGCAGTGACCATGAGATGGTCGAGTTCAGGATCCTGACACAAGGAAGAAAGGAGAGCAGCAGAATACGGACCCTGGACTTCAGAAAAGCAGACTTTGACTCCCTCAGGGAACTGATGGGCAGGATCCCCTGGGAGAATAACATGAGGGGGAAAGGAGTCCAGGAGAGCTGGCTGTATTTTAAAGAATCCTTATTGAGGTTGCAGGAACAAACCATCCCGATGTGCAGAAAGAATAGTAAATATGGCAGGCGACCAGCTTGGCTTAACAGTGAAATCCTTGCTGATCTTAAACGCAAAAAAGAAGCTTACAAGAAGTGGAAGATAAATGACCAGGGAGGAGTATAAAAATATTGCTCAGGCATGCAGGAGTGAAATCAGGAAGGCCAAATCACATTTGGAGCTGGCAAGGGATGTTAAGAGTAACAAGACGGGTTTCTTCAGGTATGTTAGCAGCAAGAAGAAAGTCAAGGAAAGTGTGGGCCCCTTACTGAATGAGGGAGGCAACCTAATGACAGAGGATGTAGAAAAAGCTAATGTACTCAATGCTTTTTTTGCTCTGTCTTCACGAACAAGGTCAGCTCCCAGACTACTGCACTGGGCAGCACAGCATGGGGAGGAGGTGACCAGCGGAGAAAGAAGTGGTTCAGGACTATTTAGAAAAGCTGGACAAGCACAAGTCCATGGGGCTGGATGCGCTGCATCCGAGGGTGCTAGAGGAGTTGGCGGATGTGATTGCAGAGCCATTGGCCATTATCTTTGAAAACTCATGATAATGAGGTCCCGGATGACTGGAAAAAGGCTAATGTAGTGCCCATCTTTAAAAAAGGGAAGGAGGCGGATCCGGGGAACTACAGACCAGTCCGCCTCACCTCAGTCCCTGGAAAAATCATGGAGCAGGCCCTCAAGGAATCAATTCTGAAGCATTTAGAGGAGAGGAAAGTGATCAGGAACAATCAGCATGGATTCACCAAGGGCAAGTCATGCCTGACTAACCTAATCGCCTTCAGACGCATGTGAGGAAGTGGGTATTCACCCACGAAAGCTTATGCTCCAATACATCTGTTAGTCTTAAAGGTCCCAAAGGAGACTCTGTTGCTTTTTACAGATCCAGACTAACACGGCTACCCCTCTGATACTAGGCTTAGACTTGCGTGTTTTTGCTTTATTTTGCTTGATGACTTACTTTGTTCTGTCTGTTATTACTTGAAACCACTTAAATCCTACTTTTTATACTTAATAAAATCACTTTTGTTTATTAATTAACCCAGGGTAAGTGATTAATACCTGGGGGAGCAAACATCTGTGCATATCTCTCTTATCAGTGTTATAGAGGGTGGACAATTTATGAGTTTACCCTGTATAAGTTTTATACAGAGTAAAACAGATTTATTTGGAGTTTGGATCCCACTGGGAGCTGGGTGCTAGAGACAGGAGTACTTGTTAAGTCTGTAGCTTTGGGGGCCTGGTTCAGATCCTGGGTCTGTGTTGAGCCAGACATGCTAGCCTGCTGCAACAAGACAGGGTTCTGGAGTCCCAAGCCATCAAAGAAAATGGGCTCAGAGGTATTTTCAGCACATCAGGTGACAGTCCCAAGGGGGTCTCAGTGACGGAACCCATCACAGGCAACTTTTTATAATTTTAAATCTAAATAAATAAAAATAAATAACTTAATGCACAGAAGTCACTGAACAGCCTTCAGAAGGTAAAAGCTTTCAATTACGACCAACCCAAAGCAGAGTCTGATATTTCACTGCCAATTCCCAGAACATTATCAAGTACCTTTGCTTATTTTTCTTTGCAGATTAGGATTTCATCAACTTGTTCCCATGAATCATCAATTTGGCAGTTCCATAAAATAGACATTTCTTAGTTGTGGAACATCAGTGCTTAACATGCTAACCGTCTCCAGATTGTGACCCAAGACAATGCTTAAGAAGTTATCAATATGATATAGACATCTATAGTCTCCATTATTTCTAATAATTAATGGGAATTGGCTCTGTTTCTTTTTGGCATGAAAGAACAAAACTACAAGTTCATTTATTCCAAGTTGTACCACTGAAATTATCTTCTAGGTCTTTGCCTACTTCTCTTGATCCAAAATACTATCACACAGTAGCACTGATCTAGTGGATTGAGTTCAGGGATGAGAGTCACAAATGCTTTAATCTGAATCCTAGCTTTGGCACTGAGTTGCTGTATGGCCTTGGCTAAGTCAGAACTTCCGTGTCTCTGTCTTCCTACTAGGCAATGGCAATAATAATACATGCCTACATCTAAAGAGTGCTGTAAAGATTAAGTTAATTATTTAGAAAAAGTATTGTTCAATCAATAAATCTGTATTTTAGGATAACCAGGAGAAATTGTTTCAATGTCTGAGGTAGGTACAAAATTAAATTGGAAACAGCAAAAATGCTGACAAAGTGAAAATAGAAGCAAAACTACCAAGCATATTTTTAATAACTTTTCTATTGTGCAGAAGCACCTCGGAATGAGTTTAATTGCAGAGTGGTAAATAAAACACAGAAAATACTATCTTACCTTTCCTTGAATATTTAGATGCTTCCATTAACAGTGACTAGGTTTCATTTTCCACGGTTAGTCCAAGATTGCTCATACCTTTGGGGACTGGAAAAAAATAATGTTGTAAAGAAACTGTTGTATATTATTTTTAAAAGATATTAATCAAAACAGCATTATATTTGGTTGCCAATCTTCTCCTAGTTTTGTTTCATGGTGCACTGTGTGTAAATACTGAAAAACGTATAATTATACAACATCCACTAGTTGTAATAGTCATGAAGGTGCCATCAGATTTTGGAACAAGTGATTAGCTAGAACGATCACCTCTCTGATTAAAAAATATTGGGATTGATCTTGAGAGCCAGTGAACATCTGCAATTCATATTAACCTTCGTGAGAGTTGCAGGTATTCACTCTCTATCACCATCAGGCTCATTAATAGTTAGAAGTATAAGAGGGCTTAGAACATGCAAGGGACATCTTACCAACATGCACCCTAAATATTACACTTTGTAACAATAAATTCTTTCCCTCCTTACATCTACATCAAATTAGTTTGATCTCATAAAGAGAAGTCTTCAGCCATTTTCAGATTACATCTTTCCAACAAGAATTTACATTAAAATTCAATGGGTGTAACAAATTAATCTCTTACCAACTTTGCCCTTTTCGGTATTTGCACTACATTCCGTCCAAGACTGAGTATCAGTAAGAAGGTGGCTCTGGGAATCTCGTAACGTCTTTGGTGGAAAAAGGTGATTCTCGCTAATATGCAATTAAAAGAAAATAAAAATAAAACAGTAAAGATAAACTTTTAGTTAATACCAATACCATTACACATTTTAAACAACTGCTCATGTAACTGTCTTACAAAAATCTTACTTTGGTCATTTTCTGCTGAATCTTTTATTCTAATACAAACCTTCATTCTAATACAGGCTAAATTTTAGTTCTGTCACAGAGACAGGGTACAATCTAAAATATAATTGTTTAAAACAGAACAGAGAAACATTTAACTTACATTTTAACTTTGTTCTTTGGTAAATGTTAGGGACTGGTTAACATGTTTTTACTAACTCCAAACCCACCTAAAGATAGCGAGTTCAAAATAAGGATCACATTTCATTTATAGTTGAAAAAATGCCAGTTGCCAGCTCCAGCTAAATGTAACCGATGCTCCTTATACCAGCAGCCCCAATCTAACAGCACACGTGCTACTAGCATTCTACATCCTCTGTCCCCCGACCTCATAGAGTATGTCTACACACTAGCTGGGAGGTGTAATTCCCAACGTGGGTACGTACACAAGCTAGCTGTGCTTGAACTAGTCCCAAAACTAGCAGTGGGACCATGACGGCATGGGCAGCAGCTTGGACTAGTGCCAAATACGTACCCAGGGGCTAAGACAGGACCATAGTTGTGCAGCTAGCCCAAGCTGCCACCCAACCTGCTTCGGCCACACTGCTGTTTTTAAGTGCTAGCTCTAGCAGAGCTAGCGCATATGTGTCTACCTAAGATAGGAGTTACACCTCCCAGCTGCTGTGCAGACGTACCCCTGGAGAACAGTGAGAAGAGGATCTCTGCCCAATCTAGTCCACCTCCTATGGTCACCTATTTTCTTGCTTTTCAGCATGGTGCAAGAAGAATTATATGAGCAGTATTTGTTATTAATGAAAGATGCATACCTAATTAACTAGGTATTATAATTAAATCAGTATCCACTCCTTTTATATGTATAAAGTGCCACAAATGCCCTACGCTAAAAATAATATAATCATGTTTCCTTGATTAGGCTTTTAACTAGTTTTCTATAGGTAATAATTATAAAAAATTAATCAAGTGAAAATAAAGTTTTTATTGGAGAAAATATTAGAATTAAAATACAACTGCTTTATTTGACAGAATACTTCAACCTAGTCATCTGCCTCAGAGAGCAAGTGCATTCCTTTTGCCATGGCAGTGGTTGAGGTGAAATACGTCTTTTTCTCTTCAGCAATAGTGTCTGCAAAATCTCAGCAAGAACAACTGTTCTGAGTTGTAGACAGTTGGATCAACACAATGTCTTAAAACAGCAAAAGTTAAGAGTTTCTTGCCATGAGGAGCTGTGAATTTATTTCTCAAATAAGATCACTTTGATTTGGCCAGTCTGCTTGTTGTGTAGAAATAGCATTGAAGCAGAAGATATCAAATGTGTACTCAGTGATTTTTATCCAGTTCTGATTAATGAGTGTTTGAATATGCTAGGGAGTCACGTCAAAGACTTGATGGGATAAATCTTATGACTGGAATACTGGGATGGAAGGGTATAACTTGTTCAGGAGGTGTTGCATTGTACATCAAAAACATATTAATTTGTTCTGAGTACCAGAAGGAGGTGAGTGACAAACCAGTTGAAAGTCTCTTGGTGAAGATAAAAGGGGAAAAAACAGGGGCAATGTCATGGTAGGGGTCTACGAAAGACCACCAAATCAGGAGATGGTGATGGATGAGGCATTTCTAGAACAAGTAACAAATATCCAAAACACAAGACCTGGTAGAAATGGGGGACTTTAACTACCCAGTCATCTGTTGAAAAAGTTATCCATCAAAACACAAAATGTCCAAGGAATGCACTGGGGACAACTTCTTGTTTCAGAAGGTGACTGGGTAGCTGCAATTTTAGATTTGATTCGGACAAAGAGAGGAATTGGCTGCAAATCTAAAGGTGAAAGGCAACTTGAGGACAGTGATCATGAAATGATAAATTTCATGAATCTAAGGGAAGGAAAGAGTGAGAGCAGCAAAATAAGGACAATGGATTTCAATAAAGCAGACTTTAACAAACTCAGAGAACTGGTATAAGTAAGGTTCCATGGGAAGAAAAATCTAATGGAAAAAGGAATTCAGGAGAACTGGTTGTTTTTCAAAGAGGCAATATTAAAGACACAACAGTAAACTATCCCAGTGCAAAGGAAAGAAGGAAGAATAGCAAGAAACCAATATGGCTCTACCAGGAGCTCTTTAATGACCTGAAAATCAAAAAAGAATCCTAGAAAAAGTGGAAGCATGGACAAATTGCTAAAGAGGAGTAAAAAAGGACAGCACAAGCATGTAGGATAAGGCACAAAATGAGGTACACTCACAAGAGACATAAAAGCCAACACGAAGAGTTTTATACATACATTAGGAGTAAGAGAGAGACAAAGGAAAATGTAGATCAACTACTTGACAGGGAAAGAGAGCTAACAACAGACAACACCAAGATTTTGATGTGTTGAATGCCTATTTTGCTTCAGTCTTCACTAAAGAGGTTAATTGTGACCAGCTGCTTAAATATAATTAATATTAACTACAAGAGGGAAGGAACACAAGCCAGAACAGGGAAAGAACAAGGATATTTAGATAGATTAGATGATTTCAAGTTGGCAGGGCCTGACAAAATTCACTTATGGTACTTAAGGACCTAGCTAAAGCACTCTCAGAACCGTTAGCGATTATCTTAGAGAACTCATGGAAGACAAGTGAGGTTCCAGCGGACTGGAGAAGGCCAAACATAGTATCTATCTTTAAAAAGAGGGTCTTGGCAAATTATATACCAGTCAGCCTAATTTCAATTTCTGGAAAGATACTGGAACATATTATTAAACACTCAATTTGTAGAGGATAATCAGGTGATAAGTAATAGCCAACATGGATTTGTCACGAACAAATCATGCTGACAGGCTTATTGACCTGGTGGATGGGGGAAAGTAGTAGTCATGATATATCTTGATTATAGTAAGGCCTTTGACACAGTCGCACATGACATTTTCATAAGCAAACTAGGGAAATATGACAAAGATGAAGTTACTCTAAGGTGTGTGCACAACTGGTTGAAAAATCATAGTCAAAGAGTAGTTATCAATGGTTCACTGTCAAACTGGAAGGATGTATCTAATTGGGTTGGTCTTAGGTCTGGTACTATTCAATATTTTCATTAATGACTTGGATAAAAGAATGGAGAGTATGCTTAAAAAATAAAATCTGCGGATGACACCATGCTCGGAGCATTTGCAAGCACTTTAGATGACCAGATTACCTTCACAAATTGGAGAATTAGTCTGAAATAAGATGAAACAAATGGATATAAACTGGCCGTCGGGAAGTTTAGGCTTGAAATTAGACGAAGGTTTCTAACCATCAGAGGGGTGAAGTTCTGGAACAGCCTTCCGAGGGAAACAGTGGGGGCGAAAGACCTCTCTGGCTTTAAGATTAAGCTTGATAAGTTTATGGAGGGGATGGTTTGATGGGATAATGTGATTTTAGTCAATAGGTCAATAACGTGCCATCGCTGGTAATTAGTAACAATGGTCAATGATGGGATATTAAAAGTTACTACAGAGAACTTTTTCCGGAGGGTCTGGCTGGAAAATCTTGCCCGCATGCTCGGGGTTCAGCTGATCGCCATATTTGGGGTTGGGAAGGAATTTTCCTCCAGGGTAAATTGGCAGAGGCCCTGGAGGTTTTTCGCCTTCCTCCGCAGCATGGGGCAGGGGTCGCTTGCTGGAGGATTCTCTGCGACTTGAAGTCTTTAAATCATGATTTGGGGACTTCAACAGCTGAGTCAAGGGAGAGAATTATCCCAGGAGTGGGTGGGTCAGCTTTTGTGGCCTGCATCATGCGGGAGGTCAGACTAGATGATCATAATGGTCCCTTCTGACCTTAAAGTCTATGAGTCTATGAGAAATTCAATAAAGGCAAGTGCAAAGTACTCCAATTAGGAAGAAAAATCAAATGCACAACTAGAAAATGGGGAATAACTGGCTAAGCAGTAGTACCACTGAAAAGGATCTGACAGTTATAGCTGATCACAAATTGAGTATGAGCCAACAATGTGATGAAGTTGCAAAAAGGCTAATATTCTGGGGGTGTATTATCAGGAGTGTTGCATGTAAGACACAGTAGGCAATCATTTTGCTCTACTCACTGGTGAGGCCTCAGCTGGAGTATTGTATCTAATTTTTGGATGCCACACTTTAAGAAAGATGTGGTCAAACTGGGGAGAGTCCAGAGGAGAGCAACAAGAAAATAAAAGGTTAAGAAAACCTGACACGTGAAGAGAGGCTAAAAAACGGAGCATGGTTATTTTTGAGAAAAGAGTGAGAAGGGACCTGATGACAGGCTTCAGCTATATTAAGTACTGTTGCAAAGAGGACAGTGATCAATTGTTCTCCATGTCCACTGATGGTAGGACCAGAAGTCATGGGCTTAATCTGCAGCAAGGGAGATTTAGAAAGTTTTTCCTAATATCTAGCCTAACTATAAGGATAGTTAAATACTGGCACAGGCTTCCAAAGGAGGTTGTGGAATCCCTATGACTGGAGGTTTCTATGACCAAGTTACACAACACCTATCAGGGACTCTAGATATACTTGGACCGGTCTCAATGTGGGGAGGATGGACTAGATGACCTCTAAAGGTCTCTTCCAGCCCTACATTTCTATGATTCTATATCCTTAGTGAAGTCAGTGGACAGACATAGGACTTATATTGACTAAAATTAGCCTTTGGAAGGCTAAGCTGCCAGACACACATATCAAGTTGTGGGTAAGCCCCTGCTCAAGAACTCATGTTTGAACATTAACAGTCTCACCAAATATCAGGCTCTCTCAAGCCTCCCATTTGTAGGAAAAGTAATTAATAAAGGTGATGAGCCAAATTCAGACATACTTGGTGTCTAAAAAAAATTTCTAATCTTTATAATCTCTTCTGTTATTGCTTTGTGATTGAATCTTGTAATTAAAGTGTCTAATATCCATGGCCAGGAGTGCTACAGCAATTAGTAAAACAACATTAATATAGTGATTTTATATATTATTGCTACATATTTAGGAAAGCTTTTCCATTTTTCTAAAGTTGAAGAGCTAGACAACATTTCATGTCGTGTAACAAAATAGTAGGTCAGGTTGTAAGAAGATAATGGTCTATTGATAAAGAAATACAATTTTATTTGGATTTATCATGAATGTTAGAATTACTGACTGAATGCAGCTTGATCGCCTTCTACTGATCTCTGCCAACATTAACAAAAAATATCTGACACACTTTCAGTTACATAAGAAATTGCTAAAAATTGTGCCACACAATGTTAGACAAGCACTACTATTATGTAACCATATCTACCTAGGTTAAGAGGCATTTACATCAGTTTATACCAGTTCTGAAATGATTGCAGCTGTGAAAGGTACTATCACTAGGATTGATAGTGGCATCTAAATATGAGTGAACCTGACACTGAGACTGAGACTGACATTGGTAAAGGCTAAGAATAATACAGAAGTAAAAAACACTGATATTTTTTGGAATTTTATCATTTGTATTGCACATTGCCCCAAAAGCACCACTCAAGATTGGGGCCCAATTGTGCAAGATGCTGCACAGAACACAAAAAGAAAGAGCCCCTATACTGAAAAACTTGGAACTTAATTTGGGAATATCTCAAACAGGCTCACCAATTAACTGTTTTAGTAGCTATTCAAAGTACAATTTGTTGTGGCTAGATAGACAGACTGTCAAAAGTCAGGGGCTGGGAAACAGCTAAACTGAGACAAGAAACACAGCTGATAAAAAAAAAGGAAATAGAATATATTGCTCCCACATTCAACAGTATTATTCATACGGCATGTTAGGGAGATTGCTTTGCCAGGTTTAAAATGATGAAGGTCTGAAACTGAGAAATCAGCTGAATTAAAAGAACTTTATATAGATGCCTTAAATTCTGTTTCTTAGTAGGATACTTTTTAAATGCACATATATATGACTGCATTAGTGATAACTGACTAAAAATAATAAGCAAATGAAAAGTGGAGAAATTCATGGTATGACAGGTAAATGACAAACTTAAGGCAGACATAAACAGACATACTTTTTGGTTGTTGAATTAAGTCCAACAGGTGTGGAAACTTGTTCAGGATCTTGGTTAACAAGACAAGTTGGGAAGGAGCAACCATCTCCTAGACTACAGAGAAAAAGAAGTTTAGAATCAGTGTAGCACTTCTACAAGCAAAATAAACAATACTTCAAATATTTATTTTACAATTCCTAATTTCAAAGCACCTGCTTTATTTCACACAATTTGGTGTAAGAAAAAAAGTATTGCTGACTACGTTCTGATATCCTTATCTCATGTATTAAAAAACAGTATTTTTCTTCCAAGCATACCTTGTAAATACAGGGAGCAGCCAATATTTCTTCTCATCACCAAACACCTGTCTTAGATTTTTGCTGAAGCCCAAGCTAAAGCCATTCTTGTCTGTTCCGTGGCGAAATATAGGTGCTCTGAATGCCTCTAGAAAATGAGATAGGTTTGTCATATTTCCTGCCTAAATACATTTTTAATTAACACCCACTGATTATTTAGATAATTATGCTGGTAACTATAGGCTTATTGGCCTTTTTGGCTATCAATATTTCCTTTTGGTGGAGGCTCCATAATGCCAGTTCAGGTATTGTGCAGCCTCCCAAAACTACTTCCTTTTGAAAGGTGAAGACACTGGTATTAGTGCCCAATTGCCATATCTGGAGAAGTCCTACTGCTGGGGAGGAGGCAGGAGTTTTCCCTTGTCTGACAGATTCAGTAAGCCAGGGAGTTGTGTGGTGTAAAGAGGTCTCCCCATGTAACAGCCCCATAGCAGAGTCCAGCAAGGTAAAAGAGGCCTAACTGAGGAAATTTTTCAACCCATTCTCTAATCAAACAGCTACAAAGGGAGAAAAGGAAAGGAGCCACCCACTTTGGCATTCGGTTTCTCTCACACACCTGGACGGATGTGAGAAGTCCACTTTTACTCCTCAGACCTTTATATAAGGGCCTGAGATCTTCATTCTACCCTTTTAGGGTTGTGTAGGGAAATTACTGCACCAACAATAGGAAGAGAAGAGACAGTTAAGTCTAGCACAAGGAGCTGCAGTGTGTCTGATCCAGAGCGCGTATTCACAGGAGTTCTCCTTCCACCATATAACTCTATAGCTGGGTCTTTCCCTTATTGGCCTTATGTAATAAGCCAATCATTTCCTTGTATAAAATTTACTGTCAGTACACAAGGCCCTCTTGGGACACTGCAGAGATTTTCTTTTTTATTAGGCCATTAGCTTACAAGTTGAAGAAGTGCTGAATGTGATCCAGAAAATGTATGAATTAGTTATAACTTGTTATAAGAGAAAAATATATCCTTGCTCCCTAGGGAAACTGGAATCCTGCTAGTAACAACCATGCTTAAAGTTGTGGCCAGCATAATCTTAACTAATTTACACAGGACTTGATGTATTAAGAACAGGGCCGGCTCCAGGCACCAGGCACCCAAGCTGGTGCTTGGGGCGGCACCTGGAGGGGGGCGGCGGCGCAGCGCTCCGGCCGCCGGGGAGAGCGGGGCCACAGCAGGGCTTGCCGCCCTCCCCCCCGGTGCCCTCCCCCCGGCGCTCTGGCCGGCCGCCGGGGGGAGAGCGGAGCCCCCGCCGGGGCTCGCTGCCCTACCCCCGGGGCTCCGGCCGCCCCCCCCCCCCCCCGCGGGGGGGGCGGGGCGGCCGGAGGCTTTTTCGCCTGGGGCGGCGAAAAAGCTAGAGCCGGCCCTGATTAAGAATATACCTCAAAGTAAAGCAGGGAAGAAGAAATGTAAATATATATTTACGTTTGATTAAATATCTAATTTTTGTAGTTTTATATTCCAGTTCCCTTACACTAAAATAGCATATGCTTGTTTATGAACTCACAAATCTTGACGGGTGCAGTTTATTGTATTAAAAATAAGTATTCTACTTATTTTATTAATGGCTTTTAAATAATCTGACTCATATTTCTTCTCTCATTATGACCAATTTGAATCACTTTCCCACACTTGTTATTTTCTAAACTGACCTTAGATTTCCTGGGATACTGTGAAAGAGAAACACTAGAAGGAATGGGCTTAAAGCATACACAGACTCCCCTACAACTGATACTTAGTCAGAGTGTCCTGTTAATATCTGCATTGGCAGGGGAAAAAAACCCAGATCTAATCCTTCCACTCCCCTGCATCAAACTCAGTGTGCATCAAGAGAAAGAGTTTAGAGATCTAGAAACTTGTTGCTATCATATTGCTGACTGAAATAACGAACTAACAACAGAGAGTGAAGGTGAGAAACACATATGCTATGTCTACACTACAAGCTATGATGAGAGCTAGTGCAAGTACACCTCTACCCCGATATAATGCAACCCGATATAACACGAATTCAGATATAACGCGGCAAAGCAGTGCTCCGGGGGGGGCGGGGCTGCGCACTCCGGCGGATCAAAGTAAGTTCGATATAACGCGGTTTCACCCATAACACAGTAAGATTTTTTGGCTCCCGAGGACAGCGTTATATCGAGGTAGAGGTATATATGTACACAAGCAGGGGAACCACACTCCTAGCTTGTAGTGTAGATGTAGCAAAGATATCTTTTAGGACCCATCTATGCTACGACTATACAGTTATGGATGTTGCCAAACATGGACGTGGCCAAATCTGTTACCAGGCAATGGAGACACAGTTAGGCCTCATCCAGGCTACCAGTTTTAACCATATTGCAACTGATTATACTTTTAATATAGTTAGGTCTTTAGACTGTGGTACCATCATCCTGAGTCTCTGCACTCATTTACTACTAAGAAAGCAAAGCGGCCTTTAAAATCCACCTTTTTTGTGTGATTCATCATGTGATATCAACAGCTTGATACGACTGGAATAAGCACAAAGGTAATAATACTCATTGATTGCAATGTACACTATGACATTACTTACCTAATGTAGATTTATTCTTGCTGACTAGCCAACAATGATAACCAAAAAGAGAGGATAAACTGACTGAAAACATGGCTGCAGCAAAGAATAAAAACATGATATGGAACTTGGCTTGAGTATCAGGAAGGCCATTCTATAAAGAAGGAAAGAAAACCAAAACGTTAAGGCAAGGAAAATAACTACTCCTTCAGCCATATTAATAATATCCACTCAACCAAGTGGGTCAAGTTCTGCACTGACTCTCACACCCCTGTGCAATCAGCATCTTCTTAGAGAGAAAGGACTATATTCTACCCCCCATGTTCTTTCAAGAGGCATGAATTAGAGCAGAATTTGGCCTTTTCAAGAAAGAATATACAGCAACTCCTCACATAACGTTGTAGTTATATTCCTGAAAAATGCAACTTTAAGCGAAACAATGTTAAGCGAATCCAATTTCCCCATAAGAATTAATGTAAATGGGAGGGTTAGGTTCCAGGGAAATTTTTTTCGCCAGACAAAAGACATTATATACATATACAGTATAAGTTTTAAACAATTTTAAACAAAGAATTTAATACTGTACACAGCAACGATGATTGTGAAGCTTGATTGAGGTGGTGGAGTCAGAAGGTGGAAGAGGGTGGATCGTCTGGCTGCTCCTCTTGCTGAACTTTCCCAACTCGAAAAAACACATCTAGAGATTGTTGTTTTGCTTTCCTTCTTTTTCCCTTGGTAAATTTCTTCATAGCAAGTCATTACATGACCAACTGCCCTAATCACTTTGGAGCTGCATTCCCTGTCAGGATCATCATCACTAAGGATTTGCAAGCCAGCTTCAATCATTTGGAAAGCTTCAGAAAGATGTTTGGCAGTCAAATTCCAATGGGTTGGTTCTTCCTTTACTTCTTGGCCCTCTTCTTCCATTGCTCTCATCACCTCTAGTTGCATCAGATCTTCACTGGTTAGCTCTTCTCCGTGGGATTGCAGAAGTTGTGTAACGTCGGCTTCTTCTACCTCATCAAAACCCGCTTTCTTGGCCAAGCCGAGAATATCTGTCTTCATAGCGGGGACAACATTTTAAAATCCTTTTAAGTCATTGACACATTCAGGCCGCAACTTCCCCGACACACCATTCACGCATGCCTGAGTAACTTCTGCCCAGAACTCACCGATGTTATTGATGCACTTGAGGATTTTGTAGTCATGCCAAAATTGCCGAATTGTAGGTTTGCCTTCCCCATTGGTGCCTCTGATGAGCTAGTTGAAAGCACACCATAAGTAAAACACCTTAAATGCAGCGATGGATCCTTGGTCCATGGGTTGGATGAGTGATGTGGTTTTAGGTGGCAGAAAGACAACTTTGACGTTTTTGCACTGCTTGTCCAGGTTGATTGGATGAGCCGGTGCATCATCAATAAGCAATAAAATCTTGAAATCAAGATTTTCCTTGGCACAGTATTCCTTCCAAGCAGGGACAGCATGAAGAGTCAGCCATTCTGAAAAAATAGCTCCAGTTATCCATGCCTTCTTATTGGATCTCCAAATGACCGGAAGGTGTTCCTTTGAAAATCCCTTGAGAGCTTGTGGTGTTTCGGATTGGTACACTGTCAGCGGTTTCATCTTCATGTCTCCGGCAGCATTACCACCTAGAAGCAAGGTTAGGTGGTCTTTAGCTGCTTTAAATCCGGGCACTGTCTTCTCTTGGGAAATGTAAATCCGCTCAGGCATCCTCTTCCAATAGAGGCCCGTTTCATCGACACTGAAGACTTGCTTAGGGGAGTAGCCGCCTTCCTCAATTATTTTCTTGAGATAGTCTGGGAATTTTTTAGCTGCTGCAGTATCGGCACTAGCCGCCTCACCGGACATCTTGATGTTATGCAGGTGGAAGCGTCTCTTGAACTGATCAAACCATCCTGACTTGCCGTGAACTTCTCTATCTGTGATCCTTCCCCTTGGTCTCTCTTCAAATTGTCATACAAACTATTTGCCTTAGCTTGTATCACTAGCAAACTTAGAGGTATGTTCTGTTGGTTTTGATTCTCTATCCACACTGAGAGAAGACACTCCATGTTTTCTGGCAAACAACTTCTTGATCGACTTATTGTAGTAGCACTGCACGGTGTTACACACGGAGCACTAGCCCTGATCTTGTTGGCATTACTCCACATTTTTCCTCAATGGTCGGAGTAAGACCTAGAGCGATGCCAATGTCTTTCGCACGCTCACCTGCATCAAAATGCCTTAAAGTGTCTAATTTAGTACCCAAACTAATGGTTTTCCTAGTGCTAGGCACTCCACTATCACTTGCTGGACGTTTTTGACTCATGATCCTGGGTGATACTCCTCCAGACAGCACATACATGTGCTACTCTTCACTCTCTTCAGCCTGGAGTGATTGGGATCATGCAGCATCAACCAACTACTGAAAGGGAAAGAATTTGGAAAACCCATGGTAAAACAATTCCATGGTAATCTGCTCCCTTATTGGTTCTGTGCATCCATACACTGCTTCTCCCCACTTGCTAGAGCGAAGCAGGTGCTGGAACACTATTAACTTGCTTTGGGCGAGCTGCCGCCCCCTTAGTTCTTACCCCCCTCCCACGAAGCGGGGGAGCGTGGATAGACGTTGTGTATTCAGGCGCAAGACAGCAAGGCAGGGCCGCCGCTGTGCACCCACCACAGCTGCTTTGCAGGTAGCTGGGGCCTCAGGCGAAGCCTCCGCAAGTGCTCAGCGTAGAGCTCTATTCCTGAGCTGGGAGGAGGGCAGCAGCTGGGCCATAAAGCGATGGTGAATCGCTGGGGAGTAGTGTGCATGTGGAGTGTGTTTACAAACATATAGTAGTTGGGAGGTGTCCCTGCCTTACCCCACACAGGCACAGCCTGCTGCAGACAATGAGGCAGGCAAGGAGGCTGAAGGTGCCATCTTAGGCTAGGAAGCATCTTGAGCAGTAGCAGCGGCAGCTTCCCCCATTGCAACTCAGGTACAAGCACAGGCGCCGACATTGCCGGAGGGTGCTCAACCCCCGGCTCTGCCCCAGACCAGCCCCCACTCCACTCCTTCCCCCAAGGCCCCACTCCTGCCCTGGCTCTTCCTGCCCCCGCTCCATCCCCTTCCCTGAGCACGCCGCATTCCTCAATGCCGCAAACAGCGGATTGCAGTGAGCAGGAAGTGTGAGGTGCTGATCCGCCGCTGGCGGGTGGAAGGCACTGCACTGGGGGGGAGGGGAGCTGATAGGGGGGCTGCTGGCCCACCCTGGTTCCAAGCCTTCACGAGGACGGGCTGCTCTTCCAGAGAATCCTGCAAGCAGAGGACAAAGCAGGCGGCCAAACAACGTTTATAAGGGAACATTGTGCAACTTTAAACGAGCATGTTCTCTAATAGAACAGCAACATAACAATGAAACAAGGTTAACCGGGAGGATGTTAAGTAAGGCGTTACTGTAAATATTGACAACAACAGAAGTTCTTTAAACTGATCTGAATCTCAATTACACACTGAAGTGGCTTTTAGAGTAGAGCCTTTTATATTTAAAAAAACCAACTTGTGAAACTAACCCTGTCAGAATGACTGATCTATAGTACACAAAGAAAACAGCACTGTTACAAATCTAAGGGCATATTCTATGTTGTACATTCAGATGACAGTAGCAGAACATTTTCATATGCAGGCCTAGTTGACTGATTTATTTCACCAATTTTAATTATGATTAAAATCAACAAGCTGGAAACCTTGAGTTTAATCTTGTTTTGCATTACTTTAGTTACCTTCCTAATGTGGGGTTGATTCTCATTGGTTGGTAACCATTAAAACGTGTTGATTTGCATGTCCCATGGACTTAAATGAAAGTTATGTGTGCACAACTGATGGGAAGATGGGTCTTATACCTGAAATATACTAGTGGTTTTCTGTTACCACTGAACAACATATACCCACCTGCCTTGTTTGGAAGCAAGTCAATCTACCTGACATCCAAAAGCATATTCAGTTTTGCAGCTGAAGACTCTTAGGGTATGTCTACACAGGAACTAGGCAACCATGGCTGGCCTGTGCCAGCCTACTCAGACTCGCGGGGCTCATGCTGCGGGCCTGTTTCATTGCTGTGTAGACATCTGGGCTCGGGCTGGAGCCAAGGTTCTAGGACCCTGTGAGGTGGGAAGGTGGCAGAAGTTGGGTTCCAGCCCAAGTCCAAAAGTCTCCACTGCAATGAAACAGCTCTGCAGCCTGAGTCCCACGAGCCTGAATTGGCTGGCACGGGCCAGCCACAGGCGTCTAGTTGCTGTATCAACATACCCTTTGTTTGTGCTTATGATAAGGCACATATATGAGCACAAAATCAGAGGCAGCTGCTGAAGCCAGCTTAAATTTGTAACTTAGTGACCAAAAGTTACAGAGTTAAATATTTCTTATAGCCTCTTTTCTGCTTTTCATACATTGAACAATTTTATTGTCACCATCTTGGAAGTGTGAAGACACACAGAAACTAAAATCTATTCACTTCACTTTCTTCCACATCACAACATTTGACATAATATCACCACTCAGGAAAACTTTCAGTTTTTAAGAGAAGACCGTAGTCAGTCAGTGGGAGGAAAGTTCACACTTTATATGAACACAGACTACAAGTTAAAAACTAAACAAATGAGTTAATGTGACTATAAATATTGATATTTTACAACTCAAAAGGAGATATATGTATACACAGGCTAAATATATAGCTCTGAACATACAGATCTGAGAGCTTTTACATTTACAGAACCACACTTTACAAATAAGAATATGGGTTAAAGATAAGTACTTACTGTCCAGAATTTGATAAAATACTGTAAATCTGTTGCAGCAATGAAAAGGCAGTACAGTAGAGAATAAGCCAAGAAAAGAAGGAAAAATTTGTAATTGGAGAATCCAACGCAGTTGTTCACCCTGGTAACAACAAAAAATAAGTACATGAAAAACTGAATGAAAACAAATACATTTTAATAATCTTTATTTAAATTGCTTTAGTCTAATTTTTAATGTACTCATTTACTGTAAAATAATTTTAGCATAAATCTGTAAACAAAAGTAGTAGTTTCCTGTATCTCTCTCTAATGCCATAAACTGTCTATGAAATTCTTCATTAAGACATTCTTTAAAAAAAAAAAGAATTTAATACAGATGGATGAAATAAACAGCTGTTTGCTTTTGGACTCCAAAGTAGTATTTCAAAGAACTTCCACAAGTCCTCCCCATGCTCTCTCAATGTCAACAAAAATCTGCAGGCTGAAATCAGGCATAGAAAGGGCCTAATTTGAAAGGAATCTTTTTGACAAATTAATATATGGATGAATATCAGGATTTTGTGGAGAAACTTCCAAGTCTTAACTATGGCAACCTCCAATATGATGTTTTACTATTATAATACTGCTTAAAATTTTAAAACTAACTAATACAAGATAATCAAATTATTGAGATGGGTACATTGGAAACAATATCAAGCCATTACCAACTGGAATGAAGGGACACTACATTTACGATCTCATAACTATAGTTGCATGTATTTTGAACAAGACTAAAATTGTTTGAAAGGGTCAGGATTTTGGAATCACAATCCTTAACATGTTGAAAGAAAGGATGAAATAGAGAATCCTAACCTCAAACAAAGAAACAAAGTGAAAAACTCCTAACCCTTAAGGAATATTTAATATAAAGAGAGAAATCAATCAAGCTTATGAAGTGCCGAAACTTGAAATGACTCAATTAATAAAAAAAGACTGTCTTTTAAAACAGATCAACACCAAGAAAAAAAACCTTCTCTTTACAATGCAAAAGATAACCCTCTCTGTAGTCTCCAAAGAAGCAAAGGAGGATTCTGCTGCAGCAGATTTCCTGAAGCATTCCTGACCTAAACCATCATCAGTGAAGACTGGCTGCATCTTAGGGTATGTCTACACTACGAGAGTAGTTCGATTTTACTTAAATCGAATATGTGGAATCGATATTGCAAAGTCGAATGTGTGTGTCCACACTAAGGACAGTAATTCGACGTTGTGAGTCCACACTAACGGGGAAAGTGTCGACATTGGAAGCGGTGCACTGTGGGCAGCTATCCCACAGTTCCCGCAGTCCCCGCTGCCCATTGGAATTCTGGGTCGAGCCGCCAATGCCTTCTGGGTAAAAAATGTGTCGAGGGTGTTTTTGGGTAACTGTCGTCATCCGTCCGTCACTACCGCCCTCCCTCCCTGAAAGCGCCGGCGGGAAATCAGTTCGCACACTTTTCTGGTCAGTGACAGCACGGACGCCACAGCACTGCGAGCATGGAGCCCGCTGCGACCATCGCTGCAGTTGTGGCCGTTGTCAACACCTCGCAGCTTATCATCCACCTTTCCCAGAGGCAGATGCAGAGAAATCAGGCAAGGAGGCTACCGCACCGCGGTGAGGACCTGAAGTTTGAGAGTAGCACAGACCTGTCAGAAAGCACGGGACTCAGCGCCGAGGACATCACGGTGGCAATGGGTCATGTGGATGTTGTGGAACGGCGATTCTGGGCCTGGGAAACAAGCACGGACTGGTGGGACCGCATAGTGCTGCAGGTCTGGGATGAATCACAGTGGCTGCGAAACTTTCGCATGCGGAAGGGGACCTTCATGGAACTTTGTGAGTTGCTGTCCCCTGCCCTGAAGCGCAATGACACCCGGATGCGAGCAGCCCTGACTGTCCAGAAGCGAGTAGCCATAGCCCTCTGGAAGCTTGCAACGCCAGACAGCTACCGGTCAGTCGCGAACCACTTTGGCGTGGGCAAATCTACCATGGGGGTTGTTGTGATGCAAGTAGCCAACGCAATCGTTGAGGTACTGCTCTCAAAGGTAGCGACCCTGGGAAACGCGCAGGTCATCATAGATGGCTTCGCCGCGATGGGATTCCCAAACTGCGGTGGGGCTATAGATGGAACTCACATCCCTATCCTGGGACCGGACCACCAGGCCAGCCAGTACATTAACCGAAAGGGCTACTTTTCAATGGTGCTGCAAGCACTGGTGGACCATAGGGGACGTTTTACAAACATCAACGTCGGATGGCTGGGCAAGGTTCATGACGCTCGTGTTTTCAGGAACTCAGGTCTGTTTAGACGGCTGCAGGAAGGTATTTACTTCCCGGACCACAAAATAAGTCTTGGGGATGTGGAGATGCCTACAGTCATCCTTGGGGACCCAGCCTACCTGCTAATGCCCTGGCTCATGAAGCCCTATACTGGCGCCCTGGACACTGAAAAAGAACTCTTCAACTACCGGCTGAGCAAGTGCAGAATGGTGGTGGAGTGTGCTTTTGGCCGTCTCAAGGGGAGATGGAGAAGCTTACTGACTCGCTGTGATCTCAGCGAAACCAATATCCTCATTGTTATTGCAGCTTGCTGTGTGCTCCACAATCTGTGTGAGAGCAAGGGGGAGACCTTTATGGCGGGGTGGGAGGTTGAGGCAAATAGCCTGGCTGCTGATTACGCCCAGCCTGACAGCCGGGCGATTAGAAGAGCCCAGCGGGACGCGCTGTGCATCCGGGAGGCTTTGAAAGCTAGGTTCCTGAGTGAGCAGGGTAACCTGTGACTTTTCAGTTTGTGTACAGAGAAGCTGAACCTGCCCCCGTTTCTTTACCCACTAAATCTTCAGTATCCTCTCCATTTACATACCCCGTTCCCCCCCCCTTCCAAAACACGTTTAAAAATAAAATGACTTGAATTTTGTTAATGAACACCGTTTTCTTTATTACTGTTTTCGCGGGAAAGTTTTGAACCTGGGACGCAGACTGTGGTGGGGAGCGGGTGTAGTGTAGTGATGCAAACGACGCTTCTAAACTCCAGGAATGATAGGCTCCGCAGTGGTGGACTGGTGGTTTCAATGGAGCCTGCCACCCCTCCTGTTCAGGACTGTGTGTGGGGGGGGTGCTATGTGACTTTGTGGCAGGGGGAGGACAGTTACAGATCCCCTGCTGCGTGGCTCTGTGATCCAGGATAAGGACCGCTGCATAAGATCTCTAACTGCCCTCCCCCGCCACAAAGTCACAGAGCACCCCCCACAGAACACTAAAACCACCTCCCGGACTGATCAGGGTAACTAGTGACTGCAATGTGTGTGCCCTGCTGCTGTCCTGTCCAATTACCAACCCCCTTCCCCCCCTTCAGACAGACTCTCCTCTAAAGAACATGATGGAAACAGTAATGAACAGAAACGTATTTTTTATTAACAACTACACATGAAACTGGGGGGTGAAACTTGGACGGGGGCTTGGGTGAGGCGGAAGGAAAGGACTTTTCAAATTTTGGGGAATGAGAGCCTTCTGGTGCTTGAGCAGTCTGCAGGGGTGGAGTGAGAGTTTTCACGGACTCTGCCGCCCCTCCTTCTTTGGACTTTGGGTGAGGGGGATATGGGACTTGGTGGCGGGGGAGGGCGGTTACAGATAGACTGCAGCGGGGCTCTGTCCTCCTGCCTCCGGTCCTGCAGAACATCCACAAGGTGCCGGAGCGTGTCCGTTTGCTCCCTCATTAGTCCAAGCAGCGTTTGAGTCGCCTGCTGGTCTTCCTGCCGCCACCTCTCCTCCCGTTCCATGTGTGCTCGGTGCATTTGGGACAAGTTCTCCCTCCACTGGGTCTGCTGGGCTGCCTGGGCTCGGGAGCAGCCCATAAGTTCCGAGAACATGTCCTCCCGTGTCCTCTTCTTCCTACGCCTCATCTGCGCTAGCCTCTGGGTGTGTGATGCCAGGCTAGGTTGTGAGACAGTCGCAGCTGTGGGAATGGGAAAAAGGGAGTGAATTCCTCAGAAAGATAAATTTCGTTGTGAACAAAGAACATAGTCTTTCTCTGTGAACAAGACCATGCACAGCACCTATCACATGCGCACTCAGGACAAGGTCGAATTTTCGGCCCTCGCATTCAGTGCCTGGGGTCTTGCAGTGCAGATCAGAGAAGCGGGGCAGGACACCGGAATTTGTGTAGCAGGCCGACATGGTAAGCCGTAGACTTGTGGCTGCTTAAAACTTTGATAGTTGCACTGGCCTCCTTTCACATTGAAAGCAATGCCAGTCCCTGCTGCCAGCAATCCGGCAAGCATGAACTCTGCCCCTGTCCCACCCCCTTGCGGCTGTCCCAGGGAAAGATCCCTGTATGCTGCCCCTCTCCCGCCTCCACCGCGTGGCTGTAAACCGCCGGTTACAGTTCTGTAAAGGAACAGGCAAGCAGTCCCAATACTAACATTCCCCTACCTAATTCAAAGCAGGTCACCATGAGCGACATCACTCTGATGAGGATTTCCGAGACAGAAAAAGAAAGGATGCTTCGGGAAAGCCTGCAAAGACCAGGGCCGTAATCCGCCATGCTCTGCAGGGCAATGATCCCGGAGTACTTGCTTCTCTCCTGGCGCGGAAATGTTTCCTACTACGGAGGACCCAATAAGGCCGCTCTCCCCAGGAACCTGATGCAAAGGCTTTCCAATTACCTCCAGGAGAGCTTCGTGGAGATGTCAATGGAGGATTTCAGCTCTATCCCCAGACATATAGACCGGATTTTACTGTAGCTGCACTGGCAGGGACTAAACAGTAGAACGGCTTGGGCAGAACAATCATGCTACACCGGACATTGTTTGATTTTTTTAAGTAGTTGCACTGCCAGGGAGTGAACAGTTAAGCGCCTAGGGCAAAGTAATCATGAAAAACCCACTCTTAATATTCCTGTTCTGTGAAAAATAAATGTTTACATGTTTAAAACACTTACTGGCTGATCCTTCCCCTGATTCTGTGTCCGGGTTAACGGCTGGGGACGGTTGGTAGGGGATCTCTGTAAGGGTGATGAAGAGATCCTGGCTGTCGGGGAAATCAGCGTTGTAAGCGCTGTCGACTGCCTCGTCCTCCTCATCTCCTTCCTCATCTTCCCCGTCCGCTACCATGTCCGAGGAACCGTCCGTCGACAATATCCCATCCTCAGAGTCCACGGTCAGTGGTGGGGTAGTGGTGGCGGCCGCACCTAGGATGGAATGCAGTGCCTCGTAGAAACGGGATGTCTGGGGCTGGGATCCGGAGCGTCCGTTTGCCTCTTTGGTCTTCTGGTAGCCTTGTCTCAGCTCCTTGATTTTCACGCGGCACTGCGTTGCATCCCGGCTGTATCCTCTCTCTGCCATGGCTTTAGAGATCTTCTCATAGATCCGTCTTTTGGAGCGCAGCTCGGAAAGCACGGACTCATCGCCCCACACAGCGATCAGATCCAAGACTTCCCGATCAGTCCATGCTGGGGCCCTCTTTCTAGTCTGAGATTTCACGGCCATCTCTGCTGGAGAGCTCTGCATCGTTGCCAGTGCTGCTGAGCTCGCCACGATGTCCAAACAGGAAATGAGATTCAAACTGCCCAGACAGGAAAAGGAATTCAAATTTTCCCGGGGCTTTTCCTGTATGGCTGGTCAGAGCATCCGAGCTCGGACTGCTGTCCAGAGCGTCAACAGAGTGGTGCACTGTGGGATAGCTCCCGGAGCTATTAGTGTCGATTTCCATCCACACCTAGCCTAATTCGACATGGCCATGTCGAATTTAGCACTACTCCCCTCGTTGGGGAGGAGTACAGAAGTCGAATTTAAGAGACCTCTATGTCGAACTAAATAGCTTCGTGGTGTGGACGGGTGCAGAGTTAATACGATGTAACGGCGCTAAATTCGACATAAACTCCTAGTGTAGACCAGGCCTTATAGGGAACATGGGCCAGGTTTGAGTTTGGATCTGGATAAACTATTTGGTCAAATGATAAATGAAGTTTATTACTAATAAGGAATGCTAAAGCAGGTTTGATTTTAGGCGAATAGGCACTGCAGTAGGCCACAGCATAGAATTCAGAGACACCCGAGTTCTCCAACCTTCCGTTAAGAGTGTGCATGTGTGGGTTTTGTGTGTTACTATTTCCCCAAGTAGATATTAAAACCTCCCAAGTCTGTTATCTAATTAGTTAAAGATTAGCTGGGTTAAAAATGTGTTATTTCAGAACTGCTAAGTGCCTAACTTAAGAATGATCAGGTCTGCATCTGTGCAAAAGAATCAAAAAAATGCAGGAACTATATTAATGTGTAAAGGGGAAATAAGCTAAATAAATGGAGTATAACATAGGTTGTATGATAGAGAAACTTAAGGTGGAACTCTAAAGTGGCATGCTACAAAGAAATCATTCAAAGAGTTTGTCTACACAGTGGGTTAGTGCACACTAGGCTTGGGTGTAAATTCTAGTGTGCATGAGCGTGTTTCACACTAACCAGCCATGTGGACTCTGCTGGCACACCCTGAGCTCTCTAGTGCAAGCGTTTAGTACGAGCCAGCAGGGGCCACACAGCCAGTTAGTACACGACCTACTGGTGCACAACAGAATTTAGACCCTACCTGTGGATTAACACACACAACATAGACAAGCTATACTTCCTTAAAACAAAAGCATGATTCAGCTTAATCTTTTGGCAGACTCTTAGCCCAATTGACTGGATTAATGGAAAGGCAATCTTCCTTAACTTTCTTTTGAAGAGTGACCTCACAGCATATTAAGTGGTGGCGGCCATTGTCTGGCTTATTGGAAAAGGTGTGTGTCCCTTTAAGGGCTAGAATGCCAGAAAGTGACATGGCTGTAGATCAGGTCAGCATGGTGACACTGCCCCATTCTGCCCCCCCTACCCCCCCCCCCCCCCCCCCCCCACACACACACACGACCAGAAGAGAATGGAGGGACTATATAGGTCCATTCCAGTGCAGGAAAAACCCTCTTTTACCTGGACCAGGCGGAGCAGCAACTAGAAGTGGTGACATACCAGGTTTTGTCAAAATCTGCTGTGGGCACTGCACTAGTCACTCCTTTCTCCAGGGACTGGGAAGGAATTTTCCCTCACTGCCAGACTGTCCAAGATGAAGTGTGGGGGGAGGTTTGCCATCCCCATAGTGGGTTCTGGGGGGCTTAGTTGGGGCAAACATGAAACGGGAGTTAGGCTATGATGTTGCAACTCGTTATGTAAATGTGGAGTAGATGTCCAGTGCAGGTACTCCCTAGGGAAAGGATACAGTGATCAAATAAACTGACTTGGTAAAGGATTTAAAGGAGTTATTCTTTAAAAGAGTGGGAACAAGGGGGTTCAGGGCTTCTATGACTTCAACAAGTTAAGTACAAATCTGTATTATGGATTTCGTAAAATGTCCCTTGAAATTCATCACTACACTACCAGCACCCACTCTATCCTCTACCTGCCTCATTTTGGCTCAGGGTTTATTGGATTAAAATGAAAGTGAAAGAGACTTGCTTTGAGTCGGATATGTCTGCCCTATACAAAATCTATCAATTTGGATAGAGAATGTCTTCAAATGGGTAAACAAAGCCAACTCTACTGAAAGGAAATGAGTTTGTATTCCTAAAAGCCTATGGTCTGGATAAATATATCTGTTAACTGCACTTTATGTGTCAACTGAGTGCTACTTTTGCAGTATGTAGCTTGAGGCAATGGGTTTCTAATTTGACTTCTAAGTTTACACACTCCATCCCACCTCCCCCATTTGAAAAGCACGTTGCAGCCACTTGCACGCTGGGATAGCTACCACAATGCACTGCTCTTTGTGGCATTGCAAGAGCTGCTAATGTGGCCATGCCAGTGCACTTGAATCTGACAGTGTAAACACATGGCAGCGTTTTCCCTGCTGCGGTCTCTGAAGGCTGGTTTAACTCCCAGCGCTCTACCTCTGCAAGTGTAGCCATGCCCATAGTTGTTATTGGGGCACTTAGTGCACTGGATGAGATGCACCACATGTTGTGATAGACATGTGTAGGACTCGTGGATCTTGAAAGATGTGTTGTGGGGGTGTTGATCATTCTAGTGGTGGAGATATGTCTGTAGGTTTTGCATCTGTTGTTCTGGCAAGGTCTGGTGCCACTTTAAGCTGGTGTGTCCTGGTCTGTGGGATGCTTGCTTATGATGATGAATTTGGAGAGGTAGGGGGGTTGTTTGAAGGCCAGAAGAGTTTTAAAAGAGTTCTGTAAACCAATGTCCTAATTTACTTTAGAAACATTTACACTAGTGGGGTAGCCCACTTCTGGGACACATGGTACTGTGAGCATGAAAGTCAGATACAACTGCTAGAAGTATTGACTATGCAACTGCAAAACAAGGTGAGATTATTATTAAATGTTGAAATTACAATAGTGTAAGGGGCTCCAGATCAAGATCACAGCACCAATGTATTAAGACACTGTAGAAAGACAAGACACCAGGAATGTGTTTTAACTCCAGTCTCTTGTAATAGTGAAGCCTGTCTTTCACAGCAAACCCCTCAAAACTGTTCACCTTTCATTTCTGAAATTAGATGAATGAACTATACTCACCAAGGGCAATGATGGTCCATTTTCAAAATACATCTTTAAAAGAAAGCAAACAATTATATATGTGTTAAAATAAACAGGAGATTTAGAGTTTAAACTTAACACAATTGCTACAAAACATCTGATTTCATATATCCAGGAGAATGGGTTGACAATCAGCTACATAGACTTCTTCAGAATAAATCTCATTCACAGTTATATTCAAGTCTGCCCACATAATATACCACCTGCCTACAACAGAACAAGTAGGCTTTTTCCCGCTCTGAAAAGTGTAGTAGGCAGTTCAAATTATAGTTTTGCCATATTTTGTTACATAACTTAACAAGTCACTATATATGAGCACATTACCATGAATTTGTATTTACATTATCCACAAGTTGTTGCAGAAGTTCACAAAGATCAACTTATGATGCCAGCCTCCGATGCCCAATTGTTAAATTTTCATACAAGCACATTTGTGCTTTCTCTCAAGCAGCTCCTCATGCTTGGGAGGCACAGCCTCTAAACAGCTGCAAAGCTACTCCAGTACTCCTTCAAACTCTTTTAAAAAAAACACAACTCTCCTTTGCTGTGATGCCTACAAAAATTCCTGACATCAGTTAGGCTGCTTGTGTGCTGAGACCACTGCCTACCCATGCTGACCAATACTGCCTCTTTCCCTGTACTCCCCGTCTGTCTGTTTGTATCCATCTCTTGTCTCTTTGGGGAAGGAATGGTCTTTTTGTTCTGCGTTTGTACAGCATCTAGCACAATGGGGTCCTGGGCCATGACTAGGGCTCCTAAGCACTAGAGATAATTACTCCTGAGGGAATTCTGCACCAAAAATATAAAAATTATGCACGCAATATCTTAAAATTCTGCACATTTTGTCATTAAATAAATTTGGAGGCTCCAGCATGGCAGTGGGGAGCACAGGCCACTGGCTGCACAGAGGAGGGAGATCAGCCCCACTCAAGGACATGGACTCGGCGATGAGCTACACTCAACCCTGACACAGTGCAAGGGCCGGCCCGCCCCAGAAACACCTCAGAGCCCTGGCCCTCCATGCCATGTGCACCAGGTGTGGGCAGGCAGGCTCATCCCAGCAGGATCCAAGTGTGGAGGAGCTTAGTGTGGGGGGATCCAGGTTTTTATCCTTCAAAAGTTATGTCCACTCTGGAAGACAATGATTGACTGGAGAACTAGTAAGTTTAAGACCTCAGAGATACCAAGGAAGTGATATATGATTATTTAAGAAGGCTAGTGATCTTTATTTGGACTGTTTAAAGCCCCACATTTTGTTAACAGCAATTTAACTAAAACACTCAGGAGAAAAGCTCTTCATTAACAATTCAACACCCTCACCCTTCTACTAAGGGATGAGAGCACTCCTAATCCACATGTGAGTTATCTAGGGTGGATAAAAATCAGTGAAAGATTTTTTAAAATTTAAATTCAATACATTTTTTCTTTTTAAAAATCAACCTATTTAAAATTAAATTTGAAACTGACAACCTACATTTAAGGCCTAAATTTACTATAAATCTATTAAAATAATTTAAACTAAATTAAATTCAATATTCAGTAAGTATATGTTTGCTGCTACAATTTTAAAGAAATTCAAGCCATTGAACTGGTGAAAGTCACTGGCTAAGCACCTGGAGCCAGAATTTATTGAAGTGCTAAACCTAGGCTATGTCTTCACTACTCGCCTGAATCGGTGGGTAGAAATCAATCTCTCGGGGATCGAATTATCGCGTCTCGTCAGGACGCGACAGTCGATCCCCAAATCGACGCTTGTACTCCACCAGCGCAGGTAGGAGTAAGCGCCGTCGACGGGGGAGCCGCGGAGGTCGATTTGCCGCCATCCTCACAGCGGGGTAAGTCGGCTCGGATATGTCGAATTTAGCTACGCTATTCGCGCAGCTGAATTTGCGTATCTTAAATCGACACCCCCCTCCCCCGTAGTGAAGATGTAGCCCTAGCTTTTGACAGGGGCAGAGAGAATAACAGCTTAAATTCAGTTTATTCAACTAGCTCAGTTCAATGACTAGTTCATTCAAAGTTGAGCAACCCACTGGGAGCTGAAAAAGCAGGAATGCTTGTTTTCCTCTTACAATACATGAATAAAAACAAGGTGTGAGGATGAGATCTACTAGTTCTAAAATCCCAAAGGACATAGTGGACAGAATCACTGTTCAATTCACTAACTACAGACAATACTTCTTTAATAAATCAGTTTGAAATACAAAACAGTTTGATGAAGCTGATTTTTTTTATGTATCCTACACATTTAGGGTAGTTTTATTTATTAAAAAAACAATTTAAAATGCTGGTTTTGTTCATTTTTCATTGAATTCCAATTTCCATGCAAAGGCAGCTTGACACATATCAAGTTAAAAAAAAAAACTCATAAAACAAGAAATGGCTCATTTGCTATTTTCTGACAATCAAAAAATAAAAATCTGAATAAATGTATATTAAGCTATATAATTGCTTAAATAAATGTATACAGATACAGTATATCCTCCAAGTTAGCAAGAAAGAATATCAAATGGATAATAAAGGCTATATTTAGTTACAAAACAACAGGTTTTAATGGTTACTAGTGAGAAAAGTACCTCTCTTTAGAAAAATAACTAAGAAGTACAGATGTAATACAAAATTAAAATTAATTATTTAAATCAAATTTATTTCCTGCTTGCTGATTTAGATCATGATTAAAACTGGTACTTTTAATCACTGATTTAAATCACACCTCCCTGAACTCACCCAAGAAATTGTCCAATAAAAAACAAAAAAAGAAAAGTAAACATTCTTGATATTTGTAAAGAAAATTAAAAGCAGAAACAAACCTTTAAAAATATCTTTCAGAGTGTCTTTGTAACAAAACACCAAATATTTTTTTGTAATAAATAAGAAAGTAGCAAAAATGTATTGCTCAGTTCTTTACCATTTAGCAGAGGCATTTTTTATAATTATTTTCTTTTGCATTAACAAGATTTAACAATTATTATTTAACATTAAAAAACTGTTCTTACTTGTCACACACGGAACAGTGATGGCAGCGGTCTGGTTTTACAAGTTGGCATCTGTCACAGTATCTGATTGCTGAGAAGAAAAAATATCCATGTAATATTAGATCTAACATAAGGTTATGCACATTTTAACATCGTTAGACCCACTCCAAAATAAATATTTATATCAGATCCTGAATTCCCTGAAACTTCCAATAAAGTGATTCAATTTGAATTTAGTGAGAGTTGCAAGTGTTCAGCACCTCACATAAAGGCTGGCTCAGAGCTACTAATCAAGTGCACTTTGAATTTTTAATACACATGAGAAATATTCCAACAAATTGCATTCTGGATTATTTATTAAAGCTTTTCACTGAGGCTACTTTTCAAATGAAGAAAAGTCAGCATTGCAAAACCTAAAAATACAGTAAAAGCTATGTAACATGATTAGTAATTAATAAATAAATTCACATTAATTCTAAGAAGCCATTTTAGGAGTTTATGCTAATAATAGATTTAATTTTGTATATTGCCTTTAGGATTTGCTTACTTGGCAGACATGCATAATCTGAAACTAATGACACTGATGATATAATGTAAGGCCTTTGTTTAGTTTTCAGATTTGGCGTTTGCTCTTGCTCATATTTCTTCATCACTGTAGTGGACGTGCATAGGTGCCACAATAGTAGGTGCCATAGACAATTTGATATTAATATTTACCTTTTCAGGAATGAAAAATAAAAGTCAAATTACGTCACCTTAAAATATATATTTCACCTTCTTGTAGTGTTTGTTAATACTGCAAGCTATCAAATAACTACAGGTAAACTAGTGCTGCTTTTGAAACCAGTCTTGACACTAGTTAGGATTTTAATAGTATTAGAGTGTTTTCAATCCATCTTCAGTTACAAATTGTGGGTGTGTATAAAGCAAAATAGAAAAATCAGATTAACTTTGACTAATATTTGAGTATTAACATTTTTTATGTTTTTAGTGTCTTGTTAATTCTATTACCATAATTACTCATTATTACATAGAATCTGCATTTGCAGTATGTTAAATAATGTATTTCTACTAAATAATAATAATAATAATAGGCATCATTCTTAGGTCAGTTTTTTCTTTTAAGCTTTGAAAGACAATTCATTTTTTTAAAACAATATCTAAAAATCTCACTTCCTACTGACAGTGAAATGTACCAAGACACATGTCTCATTGACCACAGAAACAAATAGCATTTACCTCCAGACATTGTCCTTGTATAGATAGGAAGGTCCTTGGCTGCTCGCCTAAAAATTTCTTGCTGGGCTTCACCTCTAGGCTCCCTTTCCAGCAGTTCTTTGTCTGCATATGATAGATGGAACTGGAAAATAATGTAATTTTTAATTACTAATGCCTAGAATATTACATCTTTATGGACTTTTACTCCGACTAAAGGAAAAGGTATTCGTTAAATAATGATGGTGTATGTGTAAAATACTGTAGCAAACAACCCATTGTTCCCAAGAGACACAAATTCAAGTTTTGGTGTTTTTTTATTTCTCTTCTTAGTCAAAAGCAATTTAAAACATTTCCTGATTCCACTGTGTATCAACCTAATATTGATTGCTCTCCTTAAGGTAAAACAGGAACTCCAAATGTTTAAAATTAAGCAAGATTAATTGATATATCCTTAAACCATTTGGTTACCATTCTCTCTACAAGTTTCAAAGAAGACTACGTCAAAGCGTATTAATGAACTGTTAATGCATGTCAGCAGGGTCCACACAGTTCATCTGCACAGGCTAATGCAGAGTAGATTTAAATTCACATCCCAACTTGACACAAACTAAGTGTTCCTTTAGACAAGCCCAAAGTCCACCCCTGTGATACAGAATAAATCCAACTGGCTACTGAACCGAAGTTAGTTACTTTAGTCTTTCAATGTCATAAGCGGGGGCAAAGAAAATATAATACGCAATAGGTAGGAAAGCAGGAAGGGGAATTGTGTTAAGGAATCATACTTAGCAAAGTCAACAAATTAGTGCACACTATGCAATGTCAATTTTCTCCCTCAACACACCTGGCAGACTACTCAAGCAGCACAGGAAGAACATACTAGGGAGTTATGGCTACTTTAACCTTATAAAGGAATAGGAGCAGTATTACAGTAGAACCTCAGAGTTATGAACAACTACACACCTCATTTGGAACTGGATGTATGCAATCAGGCAGCAGCAGAGACAAAAAAGGACAAATACAATACAGTACTGTGTTAAATGTAAACTACTAAAAAATAAAGGGAAAGTTTTTTAAAAAAAGATTTGACAAGGTAAAGAAACTGCTTCTGGGCTTGTTTCATTCAAACTAAGAAGGTTAAAAACAGCATTTTTCTTCTGCATAGTAAAGTTTCAAGCTGTATTAAGTCAATGTTCAGTTGTAAACTTTTGAAAGCACAACCATAACATTTTGTTCAAAGTTATGAACATTTCAGAGTTACGAACAGTCTCCATTCCCAAGGTTTTCATAACTCTGAGGTTCTACTGTACATCATTTTATGCTTACATAGAATCCAGAGTATTTTGTAGCACTAAATTACTTGTAATTAAAGGAATGATGTCCAGTAGACCTGTCCTTTAGCATCTGTTTCTACACTGCTGAACAAGGATGTTGTTGCATAATGTCGCTGACAATGAAGTTCAAAAGCACTACTGGAACAGTAGACATTGCCTTCTAATACCTAAATTTGCTGCATTTAATCCGATAGTCCATTTTAAACTCTAACAACATGAAATAGTTGCTTTCCACCCCAGGTTTAATTAATGATTTATCATATGATTAGCACTCAGTAGCAGCCTTTTCTCAACATCTTTTATTGAAATTCGTCTATAAGAATTTGAGTGGATCCCTCTTCTAATTATTCCTATATAGTCTTCCTGCACAACCCGACACTCCAAAAGAGTATAATTATAAAAATCGTAGCATGTAAATACCAAATGAAAAATAGATTAACTTAATTTTTTTTTTTAATATTTCCCCACAAAAAGATACAGCAAATGTTGCTAAATTAAGCTCAACAGAAGTCACTGATGACTGTATTGTTGCAGAATGTTTCTCTAAATAAACAGTTCAATTCCGCAATGATTTTTCATGATACATTATTTGTAAAAGTGTTCATAGTTCCCAAGTTTAAAAAAAAAAAATGGGGGGGGAGGGCATTTGAAAAAGCCCAACGTTAACCATGGAAATCACAAGTTAAGGTTACATAAGCAATTCAGCATCAAACTTACTATCCAATTCTTGTGCATCAACCAGTGAAAAGCAAATGATTTATACTTTTTGAAAAAAGGCTCATGATGAGTGCTTGTTTTTCCTCCTACACGTCTGAACATTTTCTTCTTCTTAATCATAAAACTTTTCATAGTAATAGCTCTTTGCTATAAAATGGTAGTGGGGTTTGTGGAGAGTAGGATGGTTAAAATATGATTTACAAAAGGACTCAATTGACCTGCAATTATGGAGGTCACATGACAAGCACATCCATAACGTATTTACCTACGTGTATTGGATGGTGCTCTCACTACTTCCCCCTGTATAACTTATGTCATTTAATTATCTTGAGTATTTTTTCTGGGTGGTGGTGAGGGGAATATGGGAGCCAAAGTTGTGGGTTTGGAGTAGGAGCATAGAATCATAGAAGATTAGGGTTGGAAGAGACCTCAGGGGGTCATCTAGTCCAATCCCCTGCTCAAAGCAGGACCAACACCAACTAAATCATCCCAACCAGGGCTTTGTCAAGCCGGGCCTTAAAAACCTCTAAGGATGGAGATTCCACCACCTCTCTAGGTAACCCATTCCAGTGCTTCACCACCCTCCTACTGAAATAGTGTTTCCTAATATGTAACCTAGACCTCCCCCACTGAAACTTGAGACCATTGCTTCTTGTTCTGTCATCTGCCACCACTGAGAACAGCCTAGCTCCATCCTCTTTGGAACCCCCTTTCAAGTAGTTGAAGGCTGTTATCAAGTCCCCCCTCACTCTTCTCTTCTGCACACTAAATAAGCCCAGTTCCCTCAGCCTCTCCTCGTAAGTCATGTGCCCACGTCCCCTAATAATTTTTGTTGCCCGCCACTGGACTCTCTCCAATTTGTCCACATCCCTTCTGTAGTGGGGGGGACCAATACTGGACGTAATAACTCCAGGTGTGGCCTCACCAGTGCCGAATAGAGAGGAATAATCACTTCCCTCGATCTGCTGGCAATGCTCCTACTAATACAGCCCAATACGCCGTTGGTCTTCTTGGCAACAAGGGTACACTACTGACTCATATCCAGCTTCTCATCCACTGTAATCCCCAGGTCCTTTTCTGCAGAACTGCTGTTTAGCCAGTCGGTTCCCAGCCTGTAGCGGTGCATGGGATTCTTCCATCCTAAGTGCAGAACTGTGCACTTGTCCTTGTTGAACCTCATCAGATTTCTTTTGGCCCAATCCTCTAATTTGTCTAGGTCACACTGGACCCTATCCCTACCCTCCAGTGTATGTACCTCTCTCCCCAGCTTAGTGTCATCTACGAACTTGCTGAGGGTGTAATTCATCCCATCATCCAGATCATTAATAAAGATGTTGAATAAAACCAGCCCCAGGATCGACCCCTGGGGCACTCCGCTTGATACCGGCTGCCAACTAGACATAGAGCCATTGATCACTACCCGTTGAGCCCGACAATCTAGCCAGCTTTCTATTCACCTTATAGTCCATTCATCCAATCCATACTTCTTTAACTTGCTGGCAAGAATACTGTGGGAGACTGTATCAAAAACTTTGCTAAAAAGTCAAGATATATCACATCCACCGCTTTCCCCATATCCACAGAGCCAGTTATCTCATCATAGAAGGCAATCAGGTTGGTCAGGCATCACTTGCCCTTGGTGAATCCACGTTGACTGTTCCTGATCACTTTCCTCTCCTCCAAGTGCTTCAAAATGGATTCCTTGAGGACCTGCTCCATGATTTTGCCAGAGACTGAAGTGAGGCTGACCGGTCTGTAGTTCCCCTTGTTCTCCTTCTTCCCTTTTTTAAATATGGGCACTATATTTGCCTTTTTCCAATCGTCCGGGATCTCCCCCGATCGCCACGAATTTTCAAAGATAATGGCCAATGGCTCTGCAATCACATCAGCCAACTCCCTCAGCACCTTTGGATGCAGTTCTGGACCCATGGACTTGTGCATGTCCAGCTTTTCTAAATAGTCCTTAACCTGTTCTTTCACCACTAAGGGATGCTCACCTCCTCCCCATACTGTGTTGCCCAGTGCAGCGGCTGCGAGCTGACCTTCTCTGTGAAGACCGAGGCAAAAAAAGCATTGAGTAGTTCAGCTTTTTCCACATCATGTGTCACTAGGTTGCCTCCCCCATTCAGTAAGGGTCCCACACTTTCCCTGACCTTCTTGTTGCTAACATACATGTAGAAACTCTTCACATCCCTTGCTAGCTGCAACTCCAATTGTGCCTTGGCCTTCCTGATTACACCCCGGCATGCTCAAGCAATATTTTTATACTCCTCCCTAGTCATCTGTCCAAGTTTCCACTTCTTGTAAGCTTTCTTTTTGAGTTTAAGCTCACCGAAGATTTCACTGTTAAGCCAATCTGGTCGCCTGTCATATTTGCTATTCTTTCTGCACATCGGGATGGTTTGTTCCTGTGCCCTCATTAAGGCTTCTTTAAAATACAGCCAGATCTCCTGGACTCCTTTCCCCCTCATATTAGCAGCACTAAAGCAGTGGACATTTAGAGCTCAGGACGGAGAAGGAGGAGTAACATAGGTCTCCACATCCATCCCAGCCCTGAAGACAATTTTGGCTAGTTAAGCATGGCCAGTTTATTTAGCTTACTTGCGGGGTGAGGGCCAATGGAGGAGGGTGGGGTGTTGTGCAAGGCCCATGAGGGAATAAAGGAGTGTCCAAGAGGGCAGGGAGGCAGAATGTTGCAGCTGGTTTGGTTGGCTAATAGAGATGGTTTACTTTCATACACCAAATATAATGAAGGGGATTCCATTTAAAAATGACATCTACATTGTTAGTTATTCACCTTTTTAAAAAGCTCCATGACTTTACAAGTCCATGCTCAATGTAGGCCAAAGTACATGTGCCAATTTGGGAGTTTAAAAGTGAACCCTGTGGCGGAAGCAGTGGAGATTAAGAACATTTTCTGAAGCTCTGCATGATTTTTTCAAGCTGTTAAGTTTTGATTAACTTGGATATGGAAACTACTGCAGAGCCATGAAATTTTCTGGATAATGTAAAAGAGAAGGATAATTTTTCATCCAGAAAATTTCAACCAGTTTGCTTTCTGAGATCAAACAGATGAGGATGAGGGGAACAAAATAAAAATTCTTAATGCAACCTCAACTATGGAGGCATGGTAGTGAGTCCATAGTATGGTAACTGGATAAATTAGACAGGAAAACGTACTTCTTGCTTATGTAGTGAATACTTTGAAAGAGCAACAGATAACTATTCTTCAAAATTAGGGCCAAATCCTGCCGGTTTTACTCACACACGTAGTTCCAACGATTGTAGTGCATAAGAGAAGCATAATTTTGTCTTCTAGTTTTTCCAATTCCCGGTGTGAAAGTTCCATATGCTTCAAAGAATGGTACCTAGAGAGTAAACCTGATTCAAGAGGCAACATGTACTATTCTTGGAGCTTATTAGGATGAATCCAGCATTCTGCTCCATCTTCCTCATACTCCTCCAGACAAGTGGATCCTTCCTATCCCTCTGTAGTATTATAACTAGACATTAGAATTTATATTTAACTGATTAGCTGAGTCAACTGTAGCTGGACTTACAGTATGAACATCGTAGACCTTACCTGAGCAAAGACTAATTGGGATTCTCAAAGTCTGTAGGCAGCTGTTCTACAAGGTGACCCACAAGTGAGCCTCTCTCTGGCTGAGCCAGTAGGGGGTGTCCACTTTAGAAGTCCCTCTTACCCCTTCGTGCAATGACAGCATGAGGACTTGATTGTGTATGTTCAGAAACCAGTACTTTTTGAATGGTAGGCAAAAGTGATTTTTCAGAATATAACTGACACTAGGACAATAGGACATCTGAACTAAGGCGAGAACTTAAAACACTCCATCTCAAATACATTTGCAAAAAATTATATATTTATGTGCACTACTCCCCAAAGAGTGGACATCTCCCTAACTAAAACATTTTTATTTTATTGTCTTCTGTTAGCACACAAACGTTTGCTACATTTAATTTCTTTCCCATAATATATCAAACCACCAACATGATGGTAACAATCAATCACTTATCACTACCAGCCAGGGCCACATTAGAACTGGTGACCTTCAGGTATACAAGGTATAAAGTGTAAAGTTATTCAGCCTCCGAAATGTCATTTGACCACTTAAAATCACCTGAAAACTGCATATATCAGAAACGAACATAAATTTGTCCCAAATCTCAACTTACTTCTTTTGAAGGATTCATTGGTAATGTAAAGATTGTTTTCCAGTAAGACCAGACAAACAGCATGAAAAATAGGTGATAGGCAATCAGGCACACAACTAAAATTAAAGAGGGATGTAATTAATATATTATACAGAAGAGAACAACATCAGCATATTAATTACATTATATAAGCAAACTATCAGCATCATTAGGGCTGTAAGAAAATCATGTGCCACAATTTTGTTGCAGAAACTGCAACTTTTAACACACACTACAACTTTTAATAGTTTCTGCAAATGTTAGTGGCATTGTGACCCCATGTGCCATGTTGCAATGCTAATTTGGCCTGGCTGCCCATGCAGCAGGTAGGCCAAATCCCAAACGTGGCACACAGGATTGCAATGCCAATCATTCAGATTTGGTCCAGCCACCCCTCCATCATGGTTGCCTTTGATCGACAAGTGGAACACATGGCATCTCTTCTGTCCTGCTGCCCTACTTTGGAAGGTAGGCTGCATGTCTGCACCACAACTTAAACTATGCCTGCAACTTCTGAAGAAGAAAAAAAATCACTACTTTTTTTTTTTTTTTTTTTTTTTTTAACAGCCTTAAGCATACAGGTATACACAAATATATCAGTTTAATACAGTGTAATGATATTGGTAAACAAGATGTTGCACTGAAACCTTAAACAAAAATTTACTGTTGTAAAAAATATTAACTATAAACATTAAACTGAATTAAGGTGGTAAAACCCTGATCAGTAAAAGCAAAAAACACAAAGTACTTCCAGTATTTTCCTGGAGGCATTGGGTAAACTTAATCGATCCTTCCCTCCCTTTCAGTATTATGAGCCATATGTGAAATCGTTAGCTGTGCAAGAAAGGGAATAAAACGACCTAAACTTTATGCTGCACAGGCTATGAGAATCTTTCAGATACTGTACATGGATACATTTGGATTTGAATATTAGCCTTAATGTGTACTAGTTATTTGTTTATGGTAGTTCTGTTGTTACACAGTCCAAATGCAGGTTTTTAAATGATCAAAACAATTTATTCTTTAGATCCACTGTGATGTGTTCTTGTCGCTCTTAATAGTACAATCAAGATTTACTATGTTGTGGTATTTTGTCACATTCTCTATTCTTACAATGAGAACTATGTCAGCAAATCTGTCTTAAGTGGATGGTGAAATTTTATGAACACCACTAATTGTACGTCCAATAATTGTTCAGTATTCTTGATATCCCTCACATTAACATATAGCATAGTCACTGTAATGAAGGACAAAGCCAAACTCCAGTGCCCACTCCAAGTAGCCTGACCAGATACCAAGAAGATGTGCAGAAAAGGAGAATCCATCCCATTCCTCCAGGCTGCAGCATGCTGTACAGCTGCTGCACGCGGCGCTTACACATACCCTATATGATGAATTGGAGAGAGGATCTTCACAGAATGCTCTGCCCCTGCTGTGCAAGTGGTCTCTACACCACACAAAATGCCTGCACATGTGTACACTCCTTACACAGCTTCCCTAGAACCACTCACACAAAGTGGAAGTGGACCATTTCCACTGCATGGCACTGTCTGCGGCTATAGATAAGACAATCCAGTCCCCCTCTAGTGTGTGAAACATTACCACTATAGAATTAGCCCAGGGTTTTGGGTATTACAGTACTGCCAACCTCAAGAGATAAAAAATCATGAATCGCACTCCCAAAACCTGCAAGATTGACCCCCCCCCCCCCCCAAATGAAGAGATTTAGGGGAAAAAAGACTATATTGTGTTTTTTTGGTCTGTCTTCTGATTATTTTTTGAACTCCCCCCCCCCCACACACACAGGTGTGTGTGTGTGTGACAATTACTGTTACCCACGCTCCCAAATTTATTGGGTAAGGTGATTTTGGCTCCTGTTGAAGGATCTCTCATCTGCATGTCCCCTGCCTGGCAATTATTTCTTCCCCTTCCAACTCCAGTCATCAGTTCTGCCCCTCCACAAGCCTCATTTCTTCTCCCTCCGAGGGGGGGGGCTACAGCAGAATTTCCTCTCTTCCAGCAGGCTTGGGTGGGGGGGCAGCTCTTCACTACCCTCTGGCCCCTCCCAGGCCAGATGCTACTGGGCCCTTTAGCTCCCTCCTATGAAAACGGCTTCGGATTGCCAGGGAGAGAGGGACACAGCACCCTGTAGCAGCTCTGATTGGTTATTCTGCCCCAGGAGATACTCAAGCGGGGCGAGCAGCCAATCAAAGGGCTCAAATTCACTAGTGGTCTGGAGCGTCTCTCATCATTGTGAGATTGGCATGATTTTGTCTGGGGCTGAAGCCATTGTGAAAAAGTTGAGGGAGTTGGCAACACTTGCCAAGTAGTACGCCAGATTACTCAGTGCTAATGACGTTTCCATAATGCACACATGCAAGAAGGCAGAGTAAAAGTTGTAGCAGCAACTTCAGTTCTGAATTTCCCCACTTTCGTGAGTTCAAAATATCAAAAGTAATAGTGGAATAATGTAGCTGGCACTGAATTTTTGTTAAAGTTAAAGACAAGCAGAAACTCTTTAAAAATGTATTCTCAGTTCATATGCCAGTCATAAGTTAACTTATTTGTAAAAACAAAAACCTGAATCAAACCATACTGTATGGTACTTTGCTAAACAGGACAAATTGGAGTCTGATGACTGGCTTCGGCAAAGAGTAAGTCTATTCTTCAGATCAGTCAGAATATCACAGGTCAACAGCAAGCAAATATCACTTTATTACATCAACATCTGCACTGGTCACTTTATTTGATAGCTTTAATCATTTGTCAGAACAATTTGTATTTACTCTATAATACATATTGCCTCAAGGTCAATATCTGCTATTTTGAAAATAAGTAATATGATGATGGTACAAAACATGGGTAAGAAAGCAAATATTGATTATATGACTTTCTCTGTACTATATCCTTTTGCTAATTTGTGAGTGTTATTCCCTGTACATTTTACCTCTACAATACTGGGAAACAGATCTCAATTTCATCTCCATTTTTAAGTAGGAGGAAGGAACCACTATCCAGTGAAAGTTTTATTCCACTGGCATACCAGATTCAATGCCTTGAGGTATGGAGTCTGGGAATTAGGTCTGGGATCAGAAAGGTCCCTGGAAATCTATGAAGTCTCACTGTGGAGCTAGGGTGGCCAGGGAAAGCCTGAAGAGTTTAGCAATTCTGCAGACACACTAAACTGCAACTAAGGGAGAAACACTGGGCTGCTTAGGAGTTCTCTGGGGACTACGGGAGTTGAAACTGAGCTTCCCGTGTTGTGCTCCAATAAAGTGACACTGGCAGCTGCCACCTCTCCACTACTGACTGATATGGACATGGTAGCAGACAATACCCTAGTCCTGTGAAGAATGACAAAGTAATTTGGTAATGGCACTTCATGGACAGATGCCACGGATTCCACAGTATTACATCTTTTTCTTTAGCCCCACAAATTTCTTCTCCCTCCATTTGCTGGAATCAGAGGTGTATCATGCCCATGAGGGAAGATTCTACCACATATCTCCCTGAGTGAGTGCGTGAGTGAGTGAGTGAGTGAGTGAGTGAGTGAAGAGAGAGTTCTGCCACCTTCTCCCTACATCTATGGTAGATAAGAGAACTAACTTATCCACAGGACAAGAGGGTGTACCACCAGCCTTTCTCATACAGGGACTGGCAGTACTGCTGGAAAGCCTGCTACTGTGTAGGAAACTTTACACACCACCATATTTAACCTGCAGATGAGGTGCTGAAGAGTTTACCCCAGAGAACTACATCAGCATCCATGTCCAGCTGCCTTTGAGCAGATTCCAATGAGTCAACATTGTTCTGGGTGAAGGCAGTCTTGTGTCCAGAGTCATGGAAATGAAGGACAGCTGCACTTTCTTCCCTCATAAATGTGGCATGGGGATACAGGTAGGCTCATTTCCTGGAGTCTTCTCAACAGCCACAGATGATTTAAAAAAACATTCCCACCCTTTCCCTCTAAATTTGGTTTCTCTAAAGAGGAATGAGGAATAACAAAATTGGCTCAGGTGGTAAAGAAGAAAGAACAGATTCTCCTGGAATGGAACAGCTAGTGCTAATGAAGCCAAAAGCAGAAAATTGAGCGGAGTGTATAGGAAATGAAGAATCTGCTGGGATCAGTCTCTTTTAGTAGGTAAAAGTATCAGATATGGCTAAAAGCATCATTAACAAGAATTTTAAAGATATGATTAATACCCTTAGTGTCTGAATTACCTCAAATTTGAACAAAAATGGTTCTCTGGCCACAGACTATTTATGCAAAATTTGAAGAGGAAATTACCATTTTGAGTATTTTACAGGCGGGAGCAAGGCTAAAATAGGGCTTATATTATAAATCAAGTGTCAGCCCTTATGAAGAAGCTATCACCTCTCCATACAAAAGGTTCTTAAAAGCCTGGCACTGCTCAGCACAAACATGTAAATTCTCTTGTCAAAATGAAAAACTCTCTTTTGCTCTTTTCAAAAGCAAGTGTCATCTTTTTCAAAAATGTTACATAATCCATTATACAAACGCATAATGGAAACAACATGAATAGAATACTCACAATTCATTCATACTTTCAAGCAATCATTGATAATCAAAGAAAAAATGACCTGACCATCTTCATTGCTTTGTGTCAGGAGGAAAAGGGGGATGGCCAGAATTAAGCCAAGCCTTAGCTAATGTGAACAGAGCAGATAATGGTAGAAGCATTAGGCAAGCACTGTTGATAAAAAAAATACACATCCTAGTTCACGAGGCTACATAATCCCTCCACAGTGACGTGATATGACAAAGAGTGATGGGTTATGACAGAATTAAACAGGAATAAACTGCAGTATATAATAAAGAACTATACAGTACTGCAGACCACTGACAGAGAAATTCACAATTAAAGTAATTAACAAGGGCTATTCAAACTGTTCTTCATGGCACTGACACAGCACAAAATATTGCAGTGCACTTCATACCCAGTACAAGTTACTGTATAGAAAATGGGAAACATTCATGACACTACAGAACACACTTGGAAAAGGGGAAAATCCTTTTGCAGGGATGATTTTGAAAAACAATAAACCCATTAACTGA